AGAGAGAGAGACCCTGCACCTTAGACCGCCCCAAAACTAGGTGATAAATTCGCCCTTGGCCGGGCAGCCGCTTTCCGAGAGTTGCCGGAATGACTACGACATTGAGAAAACCTTCAAACGGCATTGAGCGGACCTTGGGATTAGAGTTTGACACGAAGTTTTCTGGATATCCAATGATGTCGACAATTCATGGGCGGAATGAAGCAAACGCAAGCGTCTTCTTAAAGTATTTCAGTCGTCAAAAAATAACGTGCGGGACATTTTCTCCACTTACTTCATTCTCCACGTGTCATATACTTTGAGTCACTACGCCCATTGCATCGCATCGAGTTGTACATTGACTCTTTTACTCAATACATTAAGTGCTGCTACCCCAGGGGCCTGATCAGTATCGGGCTGTTCCTCACCTGGCCACTGAGCTCGGCGTGCTGTTCGGCCTCGTCCTGAAGCGTTGCCTCGCGGTCCTCTGTCTGACGGACGGCCTCCCGCAGTGCATGCTCCAGCTCCTCGCAGCGCGCTGTCTTCTGCTTCACCAGCGCCACCATCTCCTCCAGCTCGGGCAGGCCGCCGGCCTGCGCCAGCTCCTCTTCCAAGTAGGCCAGCTGCGCCCGCTGCTTGGCCAGCTGCGCCTGCTGCTCGGCCAGCTGCGCGTCGCGAGTCACCAGCTGCCGCTGCAGGCGCGCCGCCTCCTCGCCGTCGGCCTAGGGGCGGGGTGCGCGCCCGCCCAACTCAGACCGAGCGACGCGGCGAACAGAAACGAACGGCGCGGCGGTGTCCGGCGCTCAGCAGTGCCCCCAACCGCTCCCACACTGCATCCTCCCAGGACGGTGCAGTGCCACTCACGCACGAGTCACGTGTCACACACGGCTAGCGTCTGCGCGCCGTTAGAAGAGGCTTTTGAGGAAGCCGCCGACAGCCTTGGAGGCGTGGGCGGCGTTCCCGGCTACGTTTTCGGCGGCGTTGGCGGCGGCACTGGCGGCGCTGCCGGCGGAGCCTGGCAGCAGACCGGGCAGCTGTGCCAACAGAACACGCGCCGAACACAAGCAAACGGACGGCGAACACAGCATAATACGAAGAACACAACAGAAAGGCGGTGCGGTATAGCAGGCAACGCACGGTGGCCGGGCGGAAGAGGCAGGGAGGGAGGGACAAAGAGAAGGAGAACAGCGTGTTAGTCACATGCAGGCACCAGCCGGGCAGACGAGCGCACTCGAAACACGTCATAAGGCACAGGCAACACTTGAACACGATCTAAACTAGACGTTTCGGCCCATTGAACATTCGTTACCTGGAAACGTTCACAGAGGAAAGCTCCATTGACGCGGAAAGCCAGAGAACCTCAAACAAAAGCAGCCCACTGAAGCTTTAGACACCGTCCACCAAGGACCTGTCACATGCGCGGGCGTTAGCCTGAACGGAGTATCGGGCGGTGTCAGCGCCGGCTCTCCCCGGCCACACCCGAGCAGACAACACCGGATACCTTGGGCTGCGGACTGGCAGCAGGGGTGGAGGCTCGCGATGAAGTAGCCGACCGAGGCGGCATCGGCGACTGACCGCGAGCCTCCTTCAGCGCGCTGGCGGCAACACGGCGTTGTGGCTTTTAGTACGGTTTTACACAGGGCAACCGAGACGGAGAGCTATGCACACGACTGAAACACGTAATTCTAACCCGAAGTTCGGTTCAGCTCCGTGATGGTGGGGTTTGGCGTCGTAGCCGTGCACAAATCGCATGGCAAAAAGCGTGAACATTGCTGATAGTCTTATGCGCTTATGCAACTCTAGCACTGGACTAGATTATTTAAATTTAGAACAAAAGTATTGGGATACCTATAAGCCGAGGCAAGCCCCACATAGCAGTAGACACGTAAGGTGGTCAAGCACCTCGCAATGTAGCAATGGTGTCATTGCCATCACACGATTGCCGTCGACTCACTCCCGCAGCTCCTTGATGGTACAGTCTTTGGCCAGCTGCTCTTCCTGCGACGTGTGCATGAGGTTTAGCAGGCGCTCCGACTCGCTCTGCGCCCTGCTGAGCTCCTGCCGCAGCTGGTCCAGCTCCGCCCGCAGCGCCGTCAGCTGGGCGTCCGCCGCCGCCGGCTCCCGCTCACGGGGAGGCTGTGGCCCCAGACACGGAGTCAGCCGTCCCAGCCCACTGGCCACTCGACGACAGACACGGTTTCAGTCGTCCCAGCCCACTGGCCACTCGACGACAGACACGGAGTCAGCCGTCCCAGCCCACTGGCCACTCGACGACAGACACGGAGTCAGCCGTCCCAGCCCACTGGCCACTCGACGACAGACACGGGGTCAGCCGTCCCAGCCCACTGGCCACTCGACGACAGACACGGAGTCAGCCGTCCCAGCCCACTGGCCACTCGACGACAGACATGGAGTCAGCCGTCCTAGCTCACTGGCCACTCGACGACAGACGCGGAGTCAGCCGTCCCAGCCAACCGACCACTCGACGACAGATACGGAGCCAGCCGTCCCAGCCCACTGACCACTCGACGACAGACACGGAGTCAGCCGACCCAGCTCACTGGCCACTCGACGACAGACATGGAGTCAGCCGTCCTAGCTCACTGGCCACTCGACGACAGACACGGAGTCAGCCGTCCCAGCCTACTGGCCACTCGATAACAGACACGGAGTCAGCCATCCCAGCTAGTGGCCACTCGACGACATACACGGAGTCAGCCGTCCCAGCTCACCGGCCACTCGACGACAGACACGGAGTCAGTGGTGCCCCAGCTGGTGACTCCACTCACCAGCTGGGGCAAACGCACCGTCACTAGCATATCGCTGGCATATAAAAACGGGTCAGTGCTACCAATGATCAGCAGTTTCTTCATCAGCCCGGAAGTCAGTACTTTACCGTGCACACCAGCATCACCGACATAAGCATTGCGAATAACGTCTAATCGTATTGCATTTACTGGTACTGGGTCAGACCTCCACTCACATCCTCCGCTGCGGTTGTGGTTGTCCTGTTAGTATGCTTTACAGGACAGTGCGGGTCAGCTTTTGAGTGTACCCCGACTCATCAGAGTCAGCCTACCTGATTCGCTTCTTCCTGTAACTGCTCGACGCGCGCTTGAAGCAGCTGCAGCTGCTGGCCGCGCTCCTCCAGCTGCCGGGAGGTTTCCGCCAGCTCGAGCGTCTGCTGCTGCAGCTGCTGCTCCTGCTGCCGTGTCGGTTGCAGTTGCTGTTTCAGGCGCCGTGGTGCACTGGTGTCGTCGTCGGCGCGCCCAGTCGACAACTTCTGTTGGGCTTCCCGCAGGTCCAGCTGCGTCACGGGCGTAGCGAGTTACCAAGGGTGACGTCACAAGCAATCGTGACGTCACAAGTGACCGACAGAGGAGCGCGGGCGTTCGGGGCCTTTTAAAAAAATAGAATGGGTCAGATCAAATCACGTCACCGATCTTAACTGTTTATGTACTAACCTTTTTCAGTTATGTTTAGGGTATTTTATCCTTGCATGCACAAAGAGAACACCAAAATGTGCAACGAATTGGCTGCGATGTATTACGCTCGACGGGACTAGTATGTGACAAGAACAGCTGTGATTGGGGCTGGGAGATACCTGTTCAGTGTAGGGGAAGATTGGCCGTGTGTGGGTATTTCTCCCGCACATAACATATAAACGACATCGGCGGAGGGACGCACGAAACCTTACACGGGTCATCACAAGGCATGGAATGTCGAATGTAACGTGAACGACCACTGATGTTCTAGCAATACTCACAGAAAGCGATTACAAGTTACATTCCAGGCACGTATGCAGTGTGACTAGTAAGCATTTAGTGATGAGCACACATGAGCACGACCCGAAATTTAGGCTTTCCTCGCACTTAAAAAGCACCGACAAAACCGGTTTCACATGGCTCGATCAATTACGAAATCAGCAGTTTCATCGTAGCCGATTTAACAAGTTAGCATTCAAGTGCGTGGGGCGCAAACCATTGCAATTTTGCGTTTTTGCGTATTCAGTGTTAACATTTCCATAAAGTCATCATGATATATATTCAGTGTTAACATTTTCATAAAGTCATCATAACAAGAAAATAACGCTACCATGTTGTCTTCGTTCTGATGCATTCATATCAACAAAATGAGCCGGCGTGATGTAATGCCATCAGCATGGCTTGCATACAAACGTGTGACATTGAGGGTGTTTGGTTTGAATCTAGGTAGATTCCCTAAATTGTTTCAAAGTGCCATTGCTTCAAACTAACATGTAACTGCTGGTGCCAATGATGTATTCTTAGTGGTCAGTGAAGCACCGGCCTATACCTTTTATACCAGCCCGATGGTGGCGAGGAACATTTGTGATGCCTCTTAGGACATTGCGGCCATCTACTGGTCAACGAGTCTCCATCAATAACATGTCCATCAATTACGTCACGCATGGAGGTGGAATGGGGCTTAGCGTTACACTTAAGGTGGTAGCAAATGGTGCGAAAATATTTGACAACAAAACTAAAACCTTTCAGGCACGTATCATTGAATTCCTGCCATGACAATGAGCACCCACGTTTTTCAGTTACATCTATAGCTTAATTAGGAGCCAAGCAGACGTCACGTTTGGGAATGTTACGCGTAACACAGTAACCAGGGGGAACGGTGAGACGCCAGTATAAATAAAGCATGAACAGGTGCAATAAGTCCTCAACATTGCCAAAAATGCGCTTAGTGTTCATTTGTTCACCGCCAAACACGATACTATGCATGCCATGCATCAATGCCGTGCATAAGTACGAAAATCCAATAAATCTATCGGGGTACTGCTCAGGACCAAACGAAAAATATAACAGTTCAGTTCTAGACTTGTTTTGGTTGCAAAGCTTATTCTAGGAGTGATAATACACTGTATGATATTAGACAATTTTAAAATACTTATATTATGCAATTGGTATGTCATATGTGGCTGCACTAAACATGTAGTCCCGCTCCCGGAAAATTATAGCAGAACGCTATCTTAAGAAGTCCTGCCTTTTTACATGCTAACATGGCTAATGCCCATGACTTGAAATGCCTCGTGCTCTACGGTCTCAAATGTCATCTTTCTAAATCATTCATGACCAGCCTACAAACTTATCAAGGCGTGGAAAACCGGTTTTGACGGATATTTGCACGATCATTTTTGGTCGCTCTGGTACACGCACATTCAAACGTCAAACTATCACCAGACAAACATCTCGTGTGTTTGTGCTGGTGACTCGTCAATAAATTACACGCACAGAGAAGCTACTACATCAGCAAAAAAGGTAACTAACAAAGGCAAACCTGAACTAGCGAGCAGGCAAGCTGCAACGACTAAGTCATGCATATTTAGAGCGCGTTTTCTTGCACAAATATACAATCATCCACGGCAAGGCTCTCATGTAAAACGTAGAATAAGGTACGAAAACAACTGATACTGACATCACATCTGCTTTTCTGTCCAAAGCAGCACAATTGCAGATCAAACAATGACAGTTGACCAAAACTCAGCGATAATATGAACATAATAAGCTTTGAAAATATCAGGCAATGCAGGCATTGAAATTCACAGCATATTGGATGCATACGACATATAAAATCCAACGAAATGATAGCTAAAACGTTACCGGTAATGCTTACCAAAGTTCAGAATCGACCAAATACGCCAATCCATTGCTGTAACATTGCGTAGGCTGAACAATCAAACAGTGAACATCGACCGCTAGGTACGGAACCACGCGGGTGCGAGGCGGCGGCGGCGACGCTCGCTGCACATTCAGGCACAGTGAACGGAGGCCGCGCGGATGGTTCGCGCGAGCGGACGAACACCCGGAGCCGCGGCGTATTTCGCGCTGACCTGGCTCCTCTGTAATTCCTGCACCAGAATTTCCAGCTGCGACTGCAGTCGTTCGCGCTCCACGCGTGCATTCTGCATGTCGCTCTTGGATCGCTCCAGCTCAGCACGCAGCTTCTGTGCCTCAGAATCATCGCCCTGCATTGCGGCATCCAGCTGCTGCTGCCGCGCCTCCAACGCGTCCTGCTGCTGCGCCAGTTGCCGCCGCTGTTGCTCCAGCTCCCATCGCTGCTGTTGGAGATCTCGCGCCAGCTCGTTGTCCGTCTCTCGGCCCTGGCTTCCGGCTCGCTGCAGAAGCCCAGCCTCGCCGTGACCGCTTGCCCTGCTGTTCCACCACCCGTCCGGCCTGATCGGCGCGGACCCGCTCCAAGGCAGCACTGGCCCGCGCCAACTCCGCCACATTCGAGTCGTCGCCTTCGCTGGGTGCCACTTGCAGCTCCGTTTTCTGGCCACGCCGGGCCTCCTCCACCTCGTGCCTGCGCCTGTGCCAACTGATGACGCAGCTCCCGTACCTGTCCCTCTTGCTCCTCGCGCGTGCGTGCATCGCGTTCGCTGGCCTCCGCACGCGCCGTTTCTAGGCAGCGCCCTGTTGCCTCCAGTCGCTGCCGCATCTCGGTCATGGCCTGCTGCGTTTGCTCCAACTGTATGCCTAGATTATCTCGTTCAGCGGCCACCTCGTCCGCGCGCTGAGCCACCCCCGCTATCTCCTCTTGCAGCCGGGTGGCGCGCTGTTCGGCAGCGCGCCTCTCCGTCTGCGCACTCTCCAGCTCGCCACAGGCCGCTGCCAGTTGCTGCTGGAACACGAACACGCGCTGCTCGGCCTGCTCGCCGCCGGCATGACTCGAGTCGAGCCGCTGCTGCAGCTCGGCTCGTGCCTGCTCGGCGGCGCGCAGCTCGGCCGCCGTCCACTCCAGCCGGCTGTGCATCGACTCGATCTCGGCCACCATCTTCTCGAACTCGGCCTTGGCCGCCTCAGTGCTGTTACGGTACCGGGCGAGCCGCTGCTGCGAGTGTTCGAGCTCGCGGACGAGACGTGCCGCCTCCGCGTCCGCCACCCGCTTTTGATCTACCGCTCGTTTGAGTTCAGCCTGCGCTCTGTCCAAACTACCGCGCGGGTGCTCAACGCCCGCCATATCTGCCTCACCTTTGTGCTCGCCTTGCGCGGCGTGCCGCCGCTCAGCGCCAGCCTGCGTCTGCTGCAGCCCGTCGCGGAGGCGCGCGTTTTCCGACTCCAGCTGCGCCATCCGCTGCTCCTGCCGCGTCACCTCCGCCTGTGTCTTCTCATGGCGCACTCGCACGCGCTCCAGCTCCAGCTTGAGCCGGTCCAACTCGCCCTGGCCCTGCTCCTTCTCGGATGTGGCTCTGGCCGAATTGTTCTCGTACTTGTCAAGCTCTTTCTGCAGGATCAAGATCTCCTCGTGGCGCTTCTCGTTTTGGTGGCGCAGTTTCCTAACTTCCATCTGGCATGCATCATGTCTGTCGCGCATGCGATCCAACTCGCCCTGAAGCACCTCCGCTTGGATCCGGGATTTGCCATCATCGGACATGGCCAGGCCCTGATGTGACTCCAGTTGGTCCAGCTCAAGGCGCAGCTTTGTGGCGTCCTGCTCGAACCGCTCCTTCATGAGGTGCTCCGTCTCTAACTCCATCTGCGCCTTCTCCAGCCGCTCACGTAGCCGCTCCAGCTCGAATTTGGTGCGCTCCTGCTCTTCGCGACTGCGGTCTTGAGTATCCTGGTACTTGCCCATGCGCACCAGGTAGCGTTCGATCTCCGCCTGGAACGTGTCCGCCTCCGCCTGCGCCTTGTCGCGCTCAGCTTGCGCCCTGCGCAACTCGCCCTGGCTGCGCTCCAACTTCTCGTGCGCCTTGTCCACCTCCACCTGCAGTCGCGCTGTCTCCTCGTTGCTGCACTCCTGCGTCGCCTGCAGCTTCTGGTTTTGCGCCTTAGCGCGCTCCACGTCGAACGTCAGCTTCTCCACGTCCTCGCACAGCTGGTCGCGCTCGTTGGCCAGTTTCTTGGCCTCCATCTGCGTGCGCTCGTACTTGTCTCGCAGCCGCTCCGCCTCGGCTGTGAAGCGTTCCGTCTCGTCGCGGCAGCGTTGCTCGCTGTCCTTCATGCGCATAAACTGTACGGCGCTGCGATCGTACAGCTCCTGTAGCTTCTCCAGCTCCTGCTGGGCGCGCCGCTGCTCGTCGCGCATCTTGGCGAGCAGCAGATGTGCCTTCTCGCCGTCCGCCTGCAGCCGATCCTGCTCGGCCTGCGCAGTCTCCAGTCGCGCCTGCAGACGCTGCACCTCGCCTTGAGACCTGCCGGCACCGGTGCTGGAGTCAGGGAACATATCAGACCATGCGGCACCGGCGGCGGCTTCAGAGAACAGACCAGGTCTTGCAGCACTGGTGGCGGCTTCAGGGAACATACCAGACCTGGTGGTCCCGGTGGCAACTTCAGGGAACAGACCACGCCTTGCGGCACCGTCGGCGGGCTCAGGGAATATATCAGATCTGGTGGCACAGGTGGCGGCTTCAGGGACCATACGAGACATGGCGGTACCGCCGGCGGGGCCATGGAAGGGGCTGGAGTCACCGACACCGTGTCAGCAAGGCTCTAGAAGACGGCCATACCTAGACAAAGTCGGGGATATACTGAGGGACACTTCAAGCTGGTAACGCTTGGGCGGAAGTCAGGGAGACTTATGGGAGATGGACAACACCTGAGCAGCTCTAGCGTAAAACCTGGGAGCTGGTGACGAATGCCTCTAAGACGTGATAGTGATTAGTCGAGCTGATGACGAATGCCTCTTAGACGTGCATGCATGCATTAATGTCGCTAAGACGTCATATTGAAAACGGGAACCCTCAGAGGCAATTAGTGTTCACGGCCATTGGAGGCGGGCCCCTTATGATGCTCATCAGACTAATTTTCATGCGGTTAACTTCGCTTAAATTCGATGCGGAGGTGGGGGCCATAGGACCCCTCGCTGACGCCTCGAGATCTGCTCAACAGATCGTCCAAGAGCTCAAACAAACAAGGGATGTGCTCTGGAGCACAAGCTGCCACAAAATGTCAAAATAAGCGCTCACGATGCGTTCGCACCAACACGTCAATGCCACACTGAGAGGTGGATCAAGTGGATCAAGCAGAGTTCACAATGTTTGGTGTTTAGCAGAGCTCAATGATTGCTTAATCAAAGAGAGCCCAAGCACTTGTGTGAAATGTCACACTCTCCACACCAGCCGTTTGCCGTTTTTATGTCAATCGCGGAAACGGCAGTGCACCGTTGTGAGGAAAATTTCACCACCGCATGATGCTTTTCAAACCGCTATGCTTATATTGCTTGGACATGATGAGAAATCCAAAGCACAGTTAGGAACTGGAATTTCGACAAAAAACGGTTCCTATACGTCAATTGCGGAATCAGTTATCATTAAACGCGGGTAAAAACATGAGTAGGTCTTATTGTGTTCATGCTAGCGTTGTTACGACGGTTGAAAACCGAGCGCTTTACATCGCAAACAATGTTAGCAATTTTCTGTCTGTTCCTGTTGACAGCGGCAGATGTCAGAATGGTAAACAAGGGAGTACATTTTATGACCACTCGCATTTGCTCGGTAACGACGTATTGCCGATGTCCAGAAGTCAGCTAGCAGACTAAGGCGCTCAAAGCCCTCCATTGCCTATGCTACCTGATCGCTCTCTTTTCCGATTTGCTAGGTGAGCAAGAGCATGTTGCGATGACGACACTTCGCACTAGCAGTCACAACAAGAGGTATAAAACCTTTGTGAAAAAGTACCTTCTTTCCGTCCATATTGCTCGAAACCGGCCTTGTTCCTTGATGCGTGCGGGATACACCCATGACACGGGCCCGGGTGGAGTCATTTGACCCCCCAAAGGTTTTCCCGGGACAGCGTTCCGACGATGCGGTGTAGCCACGCCAAGTTTTTCATCACCATAGACCATTGAATAACAATTTTTTTGGTATTAAAAATTTAGATGTACCTTGCCAGGTCGCTGACGCAAGGCAAGTTCAAGTCAGAACATGGATTCAGTGAAAGCCAATTTCTAGGGAATCGTTCGGTTTGATACAACGACGGAGTGCTAGACGAAGCCATACATCTCTGAGGTACTTTCTAAAGGCAACACAAATATTGGATCAGCAGCTTACGTTGACCTAAGGTCAAGGATGAAGGTCAGACCAAAAGTTAAAACAAACTTGTTTTAATACTCTAGGGTTTGCTGTATGGGATAGCTTCTGGTGCTCATTTCGAATTTATTGATAGCAGGAATCGCATTATACATCTGCTATGAACTTCTTAAATATCAGAATGGGTCAATGATCTAAAATAACCCAGATCAACATTTTGTGTTCAGGGATATACTGTCTAGCGTAAACCATATCGCTGATTCAAATGCAAAACTCAAAGCAGCCTTGTATGATTTTGGTCGCCATGACCCTCAGAAGTTCAACAAGGCCACTGCCTTTAAATGAACATGTAACCTTTTGCTTAGAACAACATTTAGGTTCTGGAGGCACTTTGGAGACAAACCTGGAGTCTGACCTTGTTCGCCCTTATTTGACCCGAAAGTCACGACCTAGAAACCTCGAGCATTCACCTAAGCGAGTTCACGTAAAGGGCAATACACTCTGTGAATCTGGTGTATTTAGCTGCCTTACTTCCAGAGATCTCAGGGAGGTCAAACTGACCCCCATGCGAGCGAAGGGTATCCAACCGGCCAGCCGGGCGCGTGTTAAAACAAACCATTGCTGATGCCAGGGGATCGCAAGAATATAATGATGATGGCAGAGGCTCGCAGGAAGAAATCCGTAGCCATATCGCTCAATGGCGGATCAAAAAGCAATCAATGCATTGCTTCTTCCAATCTGATTGTCACGCTTCTTGTCTAAGCACGCAACTTTACCATTTGTGTATATTCAGTGCGACACGTGCACGTATGTTGTTGTCGGACAGTTTTAATAACTACGTCTAGTAAGATTGCATTACTTCCAAACTCATTTTCCCTCGTCCATGTTGACAGCCGAGCACTCAAACTCTCCCCCCTCCCCCAGTGCTTCTGAATTGAGCTCTGGGATAAAACACATTACACATCACTTACCGGTGACGAGCTTAGATACGAATGACTATGTTATAATCCACTGCAGTCAAACACCTGTCACTTGTAGTCCAAAATCATGATTGACGCCACACTGTCTATGTACCTGTGAATTGTCCGAATATGCCTTCTAAAAACCGCTGCTGGATTCGACTTCGGGTCCCATTTATAAGTGATAATGTGAGATTGCACAGGACATTGCATTTACCTTTCAAAGAACCGGAACAGCCAAATTGGCAAATAGAGACGGCGAGAGATACATTATTGTACACTTCCAATTGGGCCAACATGAACCCACTTTAACCATCCACTGACCTGCCTGGTCCGTCTTGCAGCAGGGTCAGCAGAGTGTAATCTGCAGCAAAATCATGTTCCGAGGGCAACAGTTGTCAGGCATAACCCAGAAACAACTGCGTGAAAGTTTAGGGTTCTTTTTTTAGAAAACGTGCGTTTAGCTAATAGCCGTCCAGTCCTTTGGACCACCGCCTGCCTCTAATTACTTATTTTCCAGCCATATGTAGTAACTGGGTCTCGCAACCCTTCGGCTTAGTCTCTGTTTTGGGCAGCTCTTACCACGGTGATATGTGTTGGATGCAAGAACAGGTTGGCTTGAATGACTGTACGGAAGCTCGTGGCACACGCATGCCTGTATACCCGGCACGGATATCCAGATCATTCTGCTGTCATGTACTTCTACAGCAGCCCTTACCGTGTTACCGTGTATCGTGTAAAAGGACGACAAGAGGGCTGACAGTTGTTAAGTATCTTTTACTGCCGGAGTCTCCGCGGATTTCGCATGCCTTGCCGTTCACGAGCCTTCGATTTGTGAGTATAATGTTTCTCCTCCTCGCTCATTCATGACCATGGCCATTTTCTTGAACCTTGAAGTTTATTCACAGTATAGACTGATGAATGCCTTATATCACATTCAAACCAATACCTTCTGCGATATAGTGGGCTGGGTATTTTCAGAATAACAACTAATAACGTCAGACAACCTGTAGCTCAAAGCCACATAGATAAGACAGTAGTAATAACCTTATTGCTCGGGGAAAAAGAGGAGAATGGAGATATAGATGGGTTAATATTTTTGCAGCATGCCTTCATTGAAACAATAGCAGAAATCTGCCGTTGTTTCGATAAAGGCATGCTGCCAAAATATCAATCCATCTATATCTCCATTTTCGTGGTTTTTCTCCGAAGAATAGGAGAATTACTTCCGTCTTATCTATGTGAATGATGTTCCTCGCTAATGCCCTGAATAACTTACGCAAGTAGCTCAAAGCCTGTTAACTGATGTGAGAACAATACCTGTCATGTTTCTCCGCCAGATGCCCGTGCTCTCTTTGCAGTGTGTCTTTCTCTTCCTGAACGCTGGAGATGAGCAGCTGACTTTTGTCGAGCTTGTCTCGCAGTAGGTCTATCTCAGAGCACTTGTCTTCTCTCTCGAGCTGAAATGTTCAGACACCCCACAGCTTCGTCAGCTCCACGACATTGTGTGGAAATGATTTTGAACGAGATAAGAACGCTGAATACGCAACAAATGTCGAGCGAAGCTGAAACACTAAAAAACAAACACAAAAATACAAAACTTCTATTGCCAGGACATGAGATTTCAATGAGCATATGTGTTTAATAACAGAAGCGTGCTGTGTGACGCTATTTCAACACGCGCTCCGGTGGAGGTCAAATTGGCCCCAAAAGTTTTTCCACAATGGGTTCCGAACGGCGCGGCGCAGCCGCGCCAAATTTTGCATAGCTGTAGACAACTGAATAACAGATCGTTTGACAGCACAAATTTATATGTACCTTGTAAGGTCGCTGGCCTATGGCAGGTCAAAGCCAGGCCATAGCTTCAGCGAAGTCAATTTCTAGGGAATCGTTTAATTTGATGCAACAATGGAGTGTTATACGAAGCCATTCATCTCTGAAATGCTTTCTTAGGCAACACAAATATTGAAGAGCAAATTGCGTTCACCTAAAGTCAGGTATAAAGGTCAGACCAAGGTCAAAACCAACCTGCTTTATTACTCCATATAGGATGGTTTCTGGTGCTCATTTCGAATTTATTAATAGCAGGAACCGCATTGTGCATCTTCCATGACTTCTCGGAGGTCAGAATAGGTCATTGACCTGAAATGACCCAGGTCAGCATTTTTTAAGGAGGATACTGCCTGGCGTAGTCCTCATCGCTGTTTCAAGTGCAAAACTCACAGCAGTCTTGTATGATTTTGGTCATTATGACCTTCGAGAGGCCAAACAAGTTCACCTAGCTTAACTGAGCATGTGGCCTTTTGCTTAGAAACAGCTTATCTAGGTTATGGGGCATTTTGGAGACCAACCTGGAATTTGACCTTGTTTGACATTATTTGACCCGAAGGTCATGACCTAGAAGCCTAAAACTTTGACCTAAGTGAGTTCACGTCAGCACACCCTGTAAACTTTGTGTCTCTAGCTCTATTAGCTTCCGAGATCTCGGGAGGGGTCAAAATGACCGCCCTCCCCCCTTCCACCCGAGCGAAGTGTATCTAGCCGGCCATCCGGGCGCGCGTTAAAGATGTTCATCACATACCCGTTGATCCAAATATTCGTCTGCTCACTTCATCCACGCAAGTATAACAATGCTGAGGTAAAATTAGCGCTATTTGTTTGTCAAAAATATTTAAATTTAAACCGCAGGAAATCATCCTGCCAACAAGCATTAGGTTGGAAGTGAATGCATCGCATCTAAAGGACCATATTTCGGGACCACGACCAGTCACAATCCGACACAGTGGCACGAAACCAGAACATGCGGATGTACAATCAAACTCCGACGATAAAAAAACATGACACCCTCTTTTTGGGACAAGCACGATGGGTAGCAGATCTCCAACACCGGCAACCGCAGCATCGCACCTGTAGCTTCTGTATCAGGGCGGCGCTCTTGTCAATCTTCTCTCTGAGCAGATCAAGCTCGGCGATTGCAGTATCGCGGTCCCGCAGTGTCTTGGCCTGCTGCACCTGCGCCAGCTCCTGTCGCTCCGCCAGGCGGGCCCGCTCCGTCTCCGCTGCCTCCTTCTCCTTGGTGAGCCGCGCCAGCTGACCCTGTGGGTCACGTCGGCCCGCGTCAGCCCCGGTGAGCCCGCCCTCACTCCCCTCCCCGCGCCCGCCAACATACCACCCACTCTCGCCGCCTCCCCCCACACCCGACAGCCCAGAGGCGTCAAGGCCCGGCGGCAACGACCGCCTACGCCAGCTCTCGAATCCCACTACTGGAAATGCAATTGGCTCTCTGGCGGCATGCAGATCACGTAGCTCAGAAGCGTGCCTCAGCGCGTCTTCTCGGCTCAACCCGATAGTCTACGGATTTAGACAGTCCCTATCCATAAAGCACTAGAACCACACGAGCCCTGTCTGATGTTACGAGCTTTTGTAATCCTGCGGTAATCTCCCCCTAATGGAATGGGCCTGCTACGTTCAGTAGTTCATGCTCAGGAGCTTGTGATATCAGATGAAGCAATGTAAACGATCAGCTGACGGCAGTGCTTGACAAGAACCGCTGGTGAGCTAAGAACAGTGCTTGAGAAGACCCGCTGCTGAGCTGACAACAGCGCGTGATAAGACCTGCCCGACAGCAGTGCTTGACAAGAGCAGCTGGTCAGCTGACAGCAGCGCATAACAAGACCTGCTGGTCAGTTGACAGCAGCGCGTGACAAGACCTGCTGGTGACCTGGCAGCGGAGCAGGGCAATTGTAACGGTTTAAACAATGTCCGTCTGTGCCGCCGGCACAGAACGGCTGTGGCCCTTCAGGCGCCAGACGCTGGGTTAATGGCCTGCCGCACGGACCCCGTCAGCCGCCCCGGCTCACACTGACGCTCGTAGAGACGGAAATGTTTCCGCGCCCATGACATGTGCCTGAACCATTCATGTCAAATTCGCCCAAGCCCTATTCAGCGCAAAGTCGTGCCATGTAGACATTCGAGGAAGGTTTTATCAACGAAAAGCACATGATCTGAACTCGCACATTAATATTACACTGAGGTACGCCGCCTGAGGCTAGACAAGTTTCCCGCAGTATCGGGCGGGTGTGACGACGCGACCCTCTGGCGACGGCCTGCCTTCGTGGCGGGTCAGGTATCATCGAATGACCCCGCCTAGTCACAGCGGGTCTGGTATCATCCGGAGTTTCCCGCAGTATCGGGCGGGTGTGACGACGCGACCCTCTGGTGACGGCCTGCCTCGTGGCGGGTCAGGTATCATCGAATGGCCCCGCCCAGTCACAGCGGGTCTGGTATCATCCGGTTCCCCGTCCAGTCGCAGCGGGTCTGGTATCATCCGATGCCCCGCCCAGTGGCAGCGGGCCAGGTATCCTCCGGTGGCTTTGCTCATTCGCAGCGGGCCAGGTATCATCCGGTGCTCCCGCCCAATCGTAACAAATCTTCGATGACAATATGATACACCAGTTAGGAAGCCAATCGTCTCAGGGGGAGGAAGCATGGCCTTGTGCCTCCCACCCGTCCCACGCCCCGTCGACTTCGTACCGTCCCGTCAACCTGGGAAAAGAACAATAAGTTTAAACGTGTCGCAGTTGCGAATGAGAGCGAATGTAAGGTGGCAGTGCATACGCTTACCTGGGCTTTATCGTGCTTGTCCCTTAGCTTGTCGAGTTCAACCTGAATATTTTCCTTTTCCTTTTGAGTCCTCGTCGAATGACCAAGAGCTTTGTCCACCTGCATTCGCAAGGTCTCCACTTCATAAGAGACCTTTTCTTTGTCCATTTGCACCTATGAAATACAGCGTAACGGTAAGGACAATGCCATAACAGGGCCTAACACACGGTCTCCGACAATGAGTGCGAGGTTTGGACTTGACTTGGAATATATTTCTTGGAATATATCTGGAATATGGACTTGGAATATATCTCTTTTGTGGAAATTTTTTTTGGCGACAACCATGCAATGGTAGTGCCTTTTCGGCAGTGATAGTCAAGGGTGAGACACTTCAACGAGAAAATCATCGCGTACTGTACGCAGCCTGCACGGCTCTCTACTAGCAGCCACTCACCCGTCTGAGGTCGGCGGCCGTGCGGTCCAGCTTCGTCTGCAGCTGGTCTAGCTCCAGCCGCGCCTTGGTCAGCTCGCCGTGTGTCTTCTCCTGTGAGATCTGGGCACGGCTCAGCGTCTGTTTCTGCCGCTCGAGCTCCTCTCGCAGCTCACCAGCCTCGTCCTGCAAGCGCTCCTTGTCTGCCATGGTGCGTGCCAGGACCACCTGTGCGCGATCGTGCTCCTGTTGCAGCTGCTCCTTCTCCGACTGGGCGCTCTCCAGGCACGTCTTTAGTCGATACACCTCGCCGGACAGCTTGTCCACCTTCTCCTGCAGCTGCTCCGCCTCCACCTGCAGTCGCTCGCTGTCGCTCTGGTACATGCGTAGCTCTGTCTGTGCGCCGCGTAGCTCGGCTTGAGCCTTGTGCAGCCTCTCCTGCAGCCGCTCGATCTCCAGAGAGGAGGCCAGGCTGCCGCTCAGCTGGCGCTCGCGCTGCGGGCGGAATACAGGCGTGGTGGAGCGCTCCCAGTCGAGCCCGTCACGCTCCCCCTGACGCTCGCGGCCCGCCCGCTCTCGTTCCCGCTCCACCTCGAGGCGCAGCCGCTCGTTCTCGGCGCGTAGCCGGTCCACATCCATGTTCAGCCTGATGGTCGCCTGCCGGGCCGAATCGATTTCGGAGCTCCGGCTGCCAGCGTCGCCCTGCAGGCGGCCCAACTCAGCGCTGGCGGAACCCAGCTCCGACTGCGACGCCTCCAGCCGGCTCTCGAGCCGCGCCTTCTCCGCCTGCGCCCGCTCCAGCCGCACCTGCAGCTTCTCCAGCTCCGTCTCCTGGGCGTGCAGCTTCAGCTTCAGCTCGGCCTGCTGTCGCTCGTGGTGCTCGCTCTCCTTTGCGCGCTCCTGCTCGGCACGGTCGCGCTGCTCGCGCAGCTGCGAGATTTGTTTGTCGCGGTCGCCAACGGCGTCCTCGAGCGAGCTGAGCGCGCCCTCGGAGGAGGTGTGGTGCGCCTGAACGGCCGTCAGCCGCGAGCGCGCCATGTCCACCTGCGAGTCCTTCTCGCACAAAAGCTCCTCCAGGTTCTCCACCTTCCCGAGCAGCGTTAGAGCAGAAACGACATGGTTAACGGTGTTACGGGCTCAAAGACGGCATCGTTGGAAGATTGTCGATAAAAATCCGACACTTCGGAACCAAGATGCGATTTGACGGACAAAGTTAGAGGAAAGACAGACGTGGCGAAAAACATGCAAGGAGGTACAGAGGTCGTGATTGGTGTCCATAGAAAAGGAAAGGTGACAAGATAAATCGAGACGGATGTAATGAACTGCAGTGTGAGGAACCGATTCGGGGCAGTTGGAAAATGGAAATAGGTTCATTTAGGCATTTCAGATCAATCAAAGACGGCTTAACACTTTTAGAAAACGTATCTCACATGGACCTTGATGACCAGAGGCAAAATGCGGCAAATGACACACATGAAACACGGAGCATGGCGCAGATGACACACATGAAACACGGAGCATGGCGCAGATGACACACATGAAACACGGAGCATGGCGCAGATGACACTGACATGAAGCGCAAGAAGGTAAATGCGGATCACTCCGAATCAGGCCTGCGCTCGATGCGAATCACTCCGAATCAAGCCTGCGCTCGATGCGAATCACTCCGAATCAAGCCTGCGCTCGATGCGAATCACTCCGAATCAGGCCTGCGCTCGATGCGAATCACTCCGAATCAAGCCTGCGCTCGATGCGAATCACTCCGAATCAGGTCCGTCCTCGATGATCTCAAAACGTATGGTCGATTGTATATGCTGTGGTGCTGTTCATGAACCCGTGTGGTGCGCTTTGTGGTACTATGGAGGTGGCCTGTTGTCTGGACAATTATTCTATATGCTTAACCCTCGCTCTGACAAGGACAGGGGGAGGGGGGTAAGGGCCGATGCGACTCCCTAAGATCTTTGAGAACACCTCACAGGCATGTCGTGTAATGACAGCCAGGGTTTAAGCAACCTATGGCGTATCTATTCCACATGTTGTGACACCAACACTGTGTCCCTGGCTCTTCTGGTTTCGGGGCAGCGATGGTTCTTCCAGGAACACTGCGCGGCGATATACGGGCGGCGGGGCCGCTGAGCGGTAACCGACGATGTCGCGGAATGCAAGCGGCGGGCCGACACTGTTACATTAACGGGGCCATATGTCATAAATGCATGCCCACAGCGTGTGTGCCGTTGTACACGAAATTAAACAAAGAATACGTCTGTATAGGTTTTGTGTCTCCACGAAGCATAATGTCGTGTGTATGATGTTGTTAAGCCGGAAAAGTGCGCTTTTCATGAAAATTCGACCTTTTACCTGGCGTAATGAAGTCAGTTATCTATCTACCAACATAAGAATTAACACCGATCGTGGGCCACGTTGAAACAATTTGCTGGTGTTTTTCGGCAGGGTCCATCTTGGTGACTTCAGAAACGCCAAGCAGAAACAGTGATAAGGGGCATCGACCCCTTATATTCATGCTCCAAACACAACAGGCTACATACCATTACAATCAGAACTGAACAGGAAACACGTCTGATTAGCTTTCATGTCACTTTATGGCATGGTTTCCAACATATGAGCTCGCAAACATGAAGAGTGTAGTTTTCTGGAAAATGTTGCCTTTTAAATGGCATAATGGGGTCAAATAATGAGCTAGCACCTTACAATTCATTACCAATCGCGAGATCTTGTTGAGACTAATCCGTGGTGTTTTTGACTAAGGTCTTCCTCTATTGATGTGGAAACAGCAGGGGGACACATCGATCCCCCATCAGCGAGCGTTACGAAAAGCGGCGAACCAGGGCGAGGATCAATATAATGTTATTATTCATACATTGGACATTGAATAATACATTGGACATGGACATACATTGAACAACCCTCGCACAATTTGTTGTGCCTGGTTAACCTATGAATTGGTATCGCCCGCATATTGCATTAAAGCATTCACTGACCGAATGGGGAAGCGCACAGAGCGCCAACCCAGATCTTTGGGTTCCGGTGGAAAAGGTAAAGTTGAGCAGTGTTACACCAAGTGCACAAGAGACACGCATCTCTGTTGAAGTGAATGCTCCGTATTTGAAGGAGTTGAAACATCAGATATGATGAAATAACTTAACTGATACCTTTTATTATGCTTTTAAGTGAAAGTACTGCTCCAGACAACGAAACGTATCTATTTAGTAAATATGCTCCTAAATACATCATTATTTGATTGCAACACGGAACGTTTGCGTGACGTTAATACGCTGTCGAAATAGACGTGCGAAATTGCGTCCCAAGTTTAATTAGAAGCATTTCAAACTCGCCAAGAGATAGCAACGCGGTTTTAGAAGTGTTTGCTGAGCCAAATATCGTTATTCGCTCGTGTCTTAGCCATTCTCGTGAGGTTCTTGCGTATTTATTCGTGAGTTGAGGAAGTTTACGTGTATTCACATACTCGGACATGGAGTTCTTCTTCGTTTATTCGATTGCGAGTCATACTTCCTTCATAACTAGCAATTTTGTCCACCTTCTCATACCATGTAGCACAAAACGTGACGAGACTGCACGGCTTGCTCGTCATTAATTGAACGCGAATTGCTGTCCACTGTGTCTGAAAACTGTGCTCACAGACGCGTGTTCCGAGAAGCTGGACAACGGTATTATTCCCGACTTAGAACGCCGCGTGACCTATGGGATGACAAAATTTAAGTGACGTTGCTGTGGCGTCATGCAGGCATGAATAGCCTCAAAATAGTCTGCACCACTTCGTAGGCGTATGGCTTATGACTAGAAAGTTTCAGGTGTTTAAACGGGCAGGATTGTAAACAGCACCAAATTATTTTCTAAGTGACCATTTCAGCTCAAACCCCCGTAAAAATGTGCAGCATTCCCTTCAACATGGCCAGACCATTCACAACCTTTACCCATTGGTTCGCAAAAGGGTCGACTACAAAAGGGGCTAACGCGTCGTCAGTCCCATGCTGAGCACAAGTAATCCCATAATTTTGAAATCATCTGTCGGCAGAATAAAAACAGAATGCAGCACCTACCAGATCGACTGGACTTCCTTCGAAAGAGCGAAAACTGCATGGTTACTTTTAAGAAATTTTGCGCTATCTATATACAGTTGGTGAACTGGGCTTCCCCCACCACATAACCTGCTGGGCGGGCTGTATTGCGGGTGCCGACTTAGAGATAGGTCGTTCGGTCAGAAGATCACGAGGCTAAAAACCAGATACCGACCAAAGACCATGGTTGGCTCATGTATTGGTGCCAGCCCCTTCACCGGACGCACGTGTCTCCCGCACCTCCGCAAGTTCATCGCATGCCTGGATCCCCGCTTTCTTGACGTCCGAATACGACGTGCTTCGACGGGAGCACATTCGTCTGTGAGGGATGTCGGGGACTGAGTCTTACTCAGAAGGAGTGCTTAACTCAGTAAGGATGAGTGGGCTCGGCGCTTCCGCCAGCCACAACACTCGGATGGGCCGAGGGATCATGCTTCTCCCCACTGCCGCCAGTGACAGTACCTTCCGTTGCAGGACGTTGATCTTGCGTTCCTTGATGTCCAGGTGGTCGCGCACCTCGTTGAGCTCTCCACTCAGCCGGTTCCGCTCCTGGGAAACCTGCAGCGCCGATTGTGTCTTTTTATCGATGGTACGGTTCTTTTCCTCCAGACGCTGCCGCAGCTCCTCCACCTGCAGTGGCCACGTAGAATTTCAGCTCTTGCCACCAGCGCCGGGGTGAGTGGTGCTGCCGTCTGCGGTCCGACGACGGCACGTGCGAGAGGCTACCCGACATTGCCGGACGATTAATGATTGAAGCCCGGCTCGTTTTCAAAACAGCTGTGAAATGCGACATCTTTAAAGCTGAGAGCGCTGCGCCCAGATGGGAAGCGGCAACGTCCGCAAGTGTGAAGTGATACTGTTACTCTTTTTACTGAGCTAATGTCTGATTACCCCCCCCAAAAGATCTATCTGTTTTTAACTTTCTCCGCGAGTGCTTTTCTAGGTGATAGCTAACCGATCGGGCATCAACACCCGGCAGCCCAAAGCTGGCTCGTATGCGAAGTCAGACATCGGCCTAGCTGACGCTCCAGCCTGCTGCACGCGACTGGACACCCACGCAACAGAGCAACCCTGACTACCACTGACGTCTGCCTGCAGCATGTTGTAATGCTCCTCTTTGGCGCAGAGCGACTCCTTAAGGACGGTGATGTGGCGCTGGTAGCCGTGGTGCTGCTCCTCGAGCGTCTTCATCTTGGCCGTCAGCGCCAGGATCTCCTGGTCGCGCCGCTGGATCTCCGAGCGTGCGTCGTCGAACTGCAACGTGGAGGCATGGCCATGGCAGAGCACAGAGGCGAACAGTTTCTGGAGTGACGGGAGCGATGGGACCGCTTTGTGCTGAAACCAGCGACTTAGCCTCGAGCCGGGTCATGAGCCAACCGTGGCTGTCATGCAGCGCGCTTGTGGACGGGCAGTCACTCGGCCCGGACGTGTCAGGTAGGCAGATAGGTGAGTCGGTAACTCAACCACGATAGTGACCATCGATTATAAGCGAATCGTCCAGAGCAGGGGTGCAAGAAGCTTCCCAAGGTCTTGTGATGGTTTAGCACAACGGCACTATGATTCATTGATGTTCTAGCGAATGTACGGGCCAGACATAGTGTTTTGAATTATACGGGCACAGGCAATAGAGCCCGATATATCTCAGGCGGCAATAGTTCGGGAGCACATAACACCCTCCTTGATAACACAAGCAATTGCTCCGCGACAATGTCAACCCAGGATGCTCACAGCGACAAGGAAGCATTTGGCGATGACCTTCTGGATTCTTAGATGTGAAGGACTAACACAGCCCGTAATCGTGATTTATACTTGGCTCAAGATAAGTAAACAGCATCAATAGACATAATACGGCATTACTGGCAACAATGGCCGGACACCAACACTGCACAACGAAGTACATACCTATGGTCCGCATACGCATCCAACAAGCATCAGTTTCAGCAGGAGATATGTCACAAACTCTCTCTAAGCCGGAAGCGTGCAATACAATCCAACATGCCATTTCCCACTGAAAAGCAAGCCAGAAGCATGTCGCTACATGTGTGCATGGGCTCAACTAGCCAGCACTGGTTGCTGAGTCCCTGGACTAGCACCACCAAAGCGCCCCAACCCCTCTGCATTGCTCGTCCGGTCGAGCAACGTAGATAGCAGACATTCCGGCATCAAGCAGCTGTTTTGAAAATATTCCTGTGTTCGCATTCAGCAGCGTTTGAACATAAGACATACTAATCTACATTCGGATTTCAGCGGCATTTACCTCCAGAAGCGGGGAAGCTCGGTTTATGACGGAGGACCAACAATGCGATTCAGGCGACCAGCGGAAGAGAGTTAGTTTATATCTCTCTGACTTTTCTCCTTACGTTTCCGAGTGTGGCCCCGGCCTACAAGAGTACCGGGCAGTTTCTCGTTGTTGGCATGTCGAAAAGCTTCCCTATGTGCTGGCACACGGACGCCTGGGGATCCTGTCCTGACTCCCAAACCGACACTCCCAAGACAACATTTGGCTTAAGAAATGATTGCGTGACGTAATCGAGCAGGGACCCAACGCCCAGTTATTCAGCGTATCCAATCATAATGGCACACGCGATGCAATAACTGCAATTAGTGTGCAACATAACAGACGCTGGTAGACAGCCAAGGCGTAATATAATCATATGTTAACAACAGGCGTGGGTCTGAAAGACCTGAGTCCGCATCGGAGCTCCGGCTAGAGAGCACTCTTGTCAGAATGTATGATTCCGAGGATGCAGCCCGAGTCTGGATTCAAATCTCGGAGATCATGCCCGAGTTCGAACCCTTGAAGATCATACTCGAGTCAGTCTCTGAAGGCCTCTCCGGGAGGCTGCAAACCAATCCCATTATCGCAACGAGGAAAATGTAGAATTTCCACCCCTTCAGTTTTCGTTTTAAAGGTTGAAACCACCCGAGTATCCAAGAATACCGATGCTGTATTCCTAGACAGGTATGTAACATAAATCTGCGTTCTTGCAACAAGCGGTCTACCTTTGAATAGATATTTTAGCTAAAACAGTCATTTTGAACATCATTTGGTGCAGGTCACAGCTTTGCGCTCATAAAAACGTCAAACCCTGTTTTTCCTGAGCAACACGTCCGCGTAGATGTGCAAACTATTTCCTGCAGTACGTTTCAAGGTCATACGGGCATACATGACGCCATAGCAGCTTCATTCAAATCGTGCTACCCCACAGGCAAGGCGACGCTCAAGGTCAGGAAGAATATTTTCGTCCAGCTGTTCAAATCTGGCATCCGTGAGCGCAATTTCCTTAAATAGTGGACGTCAGTTGGCCCCCAAGCACTGTCAAGTACGCTGTGCATGCTTCAGTCGCAAGGCAGGTTATGTGCTATATAAGATAAGAGGCTTGACACCGTTCCTTCGCTCGTTATCTATACATTATTACGGAAATATGACTTGTAACTGAATAGCTCAACAGAAACGTCGTAACTGAGTATGCGAATACAAGTAGATGTCTTAAACTCAAGTATAAATTTGCAAGAACATGACGCGAAAGGGCCAAAACGTCAACACATAACGATATTTGGTCCAGCTAACACGTTCAGCGCCTGCTGCCATCTCTCGATAACCTCAAGGTACTACAAGTTAGTGGCAATTTGGCACGACTATTTAAGCAGCCCCACAAAGTTGTTTTTGCGTTATTTCTCTACGTTTAGAACGTTTTTACAAACACCCCCTGACAGTGACACATTGAGGAGCATATTCACTTAGCAAATAAATTGTGTTGCCTAGAGCAGTCTCTCCATTCAACAGTACACTAATCAAGGACGCAGGAACAGGGAGGGGGAGGGGAGGAAGTGGGTTAGCTCGCCCCTCAACTTGAAAGCTGGATGGGCAGCGTCCCTCTCCCTCCCCCCAAACTTGGAGGGCCTGAGGATTACGGTATATTAAGTATATTATCATTCTATCGTATTCGATAAAGTATATTGTCATTCTGGTATATTAAGAACCCATTTTGAATTGCAAGGCGAATATGTAAGTCAACAGCCAGTTCTGACTTGTCGATGGTACATTCTGGCCTAATAAGGTTACATTATGACCAAAAGAGGGCAGCTTGAGCCTGACGAGGGTCCATTCTGATCCACAGAAGTCCAATTATTGATTGTGAAGGGCTTATTAGGGCCTAAAGAGACCCACCATGATATGTAAACAGACTGTTTTGTGTGGAGAGTCCATTTTGACCTGTAGATGGTCCATTCTGGCTTGTACGGAGCCAACTCTTGCCTAACGAGCCCGCACTCTGATCTGTACAGGTCCCACTCTGACCTGCAGTGCCTAGCGGGCCCATCTGACCCGTAGAGGGTTCATTTCTGACTGTGAATAGCCTATTTTGTTCTGCAGAGGACCATTCCGACCCGTATTGAGCAATTCTGACCTGAAGAGCGCCTATTATTGACTGTCACGGGCCATTCTAACTCGAAGAGGGCCGATTATTCTGGATTATTCTGTCTTGTAAGAGGCCCGATTATTCTGTGTTTCCATTCTGGACTGTAAAGGGCTCACTCTGGCCTGTGAAGGTCCAATTCTAACCTCTAGAAGGTCCATCATTGACTGTGAAGGGCACATTGTGACCTGTACAAGGATAATTCAGAGCTGTACACGGCCCGTTCTGACTTGTATAGAGCCGATTCTAGGCTAGGATTCTAGGCTTGTAGGCGGCCCATCATCTAATCTCACGGAGCCCATTTTGGCACTTTTGAACTGCCCTCTCCCCTAACTTGAACATAATTCTCGCGCCCTTGACATCAAAAGTCAGTATATTTACCTGATCATATCTGATCATTGCTTCATGGCTTTCTAATGTGGAACGTTCCCTTTGAGTAGGACAGATGGCGTCCGCCCTTCTCACCAGCCTGCCGTTCATCTGCTTTTACACTTGTTCCAAGGGTCATTTCATGCCATCGGATTCCCTCTTCATCTTAAATTTGATGAGTGATAGATTGCCTATGATGAATAATATTTTCCTGACTGCAAAAACCATTTCGGGAACGGGTGTCGGTCATGGGAAGTAACGTCACGATACATTTGATATTTTATTTTCCGACTTAGGAACACTTTGATGGCATAAGTCAGATATTTGACGAAGCCTGACCAATGCCAACATGAGGTAGTGCAGTGCGGTCTGTTGGCACACTTCAGTGCAGATACTACATTCTAACTGGGCAACTCCATCACCACGTAGTCACTGATCGCTCGCCTCCATACATCCAGCAGCAGCATCAGTCACCACTTTTCAGCCCTCACACCTTATCGCACGCGCATTACCCTGGCAATGATGATGAGAAACGGTTGCGGCTATCTAAACGCACGCAAATACGCCAGCATCAGTAGTTTTGCACCCAAACCGCGCAAGCAAAGTGACTTTCGCCGAAAGTGACTTTAAATGACTGGCAATAACTTAGGCACTTTAGGATCATGAGCACATTCACGAGGGCGCTACCGTATCTTGACGACACGCTATCGGTAATGCAACTTTTGTAAAGTCCAGCAGGCCAGAAATGCTGACCAGGACATCCATGGTGAACAATTTGACCTACTCAGACTCGTAACAAGCTTCACGTCAGTTTGAAAATGTGCATGTTTTAGCAAAATATTCATTTTTTTCCGAAAAATCGAAAAACCAAGTGATCAGCATGCAGGCAAGTCTGGAGTGGTATCATTACTTCAAAAAAGTTATGGGCGCAAAATGGCCATTGAAGTCGACGCGCCTGAAAACACCAATGAACAAACAGACAAACAACTTCAAAAAAGTTAGAAGAACGGTATGCTTTACCGTAAAGTACGTAAATGTGTCTATAACTAGAAGACAAATATGTAAATCTAGCCCTTACACCTCGATAGATGCCCATTTAACATTTCAAATTGTAACTGGGCACTTCCATGACTGTTGCATTGCTGAAGGTTAAGTTGTCATGCATGAACCGCATATGCTGGCTAGTATTCTTTTTATACCAATCCCTGACCAATTCGATGTTATTTAAACCGATGGAGGCAAGGATAATATGAGGCCTGCAAAGCCACATTTACGTGATGGACGCAACACCTTCAGGCTTTAATGACGTATCTAACATCTCAAGCGATTAACGTCAAGTTGACGATGCAGGGAACGGTGCCACCGTCGGCTGGGGACCGAACTCGAGCCAGGGCGCCTCCACTCGGCCCACTGTCGCATGACAGACGCTCTTCCAAATGAGCCGCGCCCACCACCGAATGCAAGGGACTGTTATCTTCGACGGACTTTGCCCGTCCTTAGAAGTAGTGGGCGAGGCGGGTTCGAAGTCATTCTAGATCACTTCAGCCGATGATGATGATGTTGATGATGATGTTGTTATTTTCTATTTTGCCTTTGGTTAGGACAATGCTACACAATTCACTGTCATCACAGCTACAATTATATCCCCTCTCATGGATGCAGTTAGTCAAACTCGCGCTAGCTGGTCCTTCCGCAGCCCAAGAGTCCATCGCCGGCGCGTGCCAAAACAGCGCAGCCGATCAAAAGTTCAAGCAAATTGGTACGCTTTGCACAAGCAACCAGCGCGAGCGGGCTGGCTGGCAGGGCACCACCACGGCACGGCACGCCTCTCGCACCCAACACACGGCCGACACTTACTTTGCTCTGGAGCATCTGTTTTTCTCTTTCACAGTCAACATCCAAGCGCGGCGAGCTCGCGCATGCTCTCGAGCACTGAGCGCCCAGCTCGTGCGCCTTGGCCAGCTCGGCGTCTAGCTTGGACAGCTCGTGCTCCAGGCCTTCGATACGGCGGTCTTTGACCTCGAGGATCCCGGCCAGGGTGGTGGGATTCTGACTGAGCTTTTGCTGAATCTCGATCTGCAGCGCTCGGTACTGGTCTATGTAGTTGTCCAGCTCCTACGGTCGGCGATGAGGACTGCGCTCAGTGACCTGCGCCAGTCCGCGCGGTCGCACGCGCCGCAGCTCGTCACGCACAGGATTGACGAGCTGCGTCAAGGCGTAACCGACGACGTGCTGGTCATCAGTATGAAGTCGTGCCGGAGCAATTTAACCTACTTTTCGCAGTGAGCTGCGACCTGCAGCCACATCGCATTGAATGTTTACGATAGAGATGCAAGATTGGTGTCAAGGTACTGGCAACCAATGCTAAAGTTCCTTCAGCCAATACTAAATCAGGAGCAACGGCACTAGAACGTTGCTTGCGATGGAAAAATCGAAGTTTTGATGGCGTCAGTAAGTGCTTGTGTTGAATAAAAAAAGCCTTCATGGAGGTCACCATCCAAACCTTGTCAGCTCTAGGCTAGAACCCAATGCAGTCAGCATGGTGCCTGCATGATGCCAGCATCATAACCAGGCTTTTATAAAATCTTGCATCTCTACACACCTGCAGCACAGTACCACTGAAAGCTCCGAGCAATACGTAAAGTCAACCTTGACAGTCCCCAAAACGCCTCCAATAAGCCTGCTATCCAGGAGCTACACTATCCAAGAGCACATTCGACACGAACATGTGCGCCACCGCCCCAGCACACCACCGGCTGGTAACGGCTCTGGCATGCCAGCCACCGCGCTCATGCCGGACTTACTTGTCGCGCGCTATCTAACTCAACGTCCCGTTCGCGGAGCGCTGAGAGGAGGTGGGCGATGCGCGCCTCGGCCTCGGCCAGGTCTGTCTGGGTGCGTATGTTGGCCAAGCACTCCTCGGGCAACGCTTTACCACCTAAAACGCATGCGCGGACTAGGTCAACGGGAGGGGCCCGGTCAGCGAGCCGACCGGGAACGAATGGGCGGGACAAGCTGACTTCACGCACCAGTGCTAGAAGGGGAGTTAGAGGGACAGAGTGAGACAGACAGTGTGGTTGAGAGGAGCAGACAAAGACAGACAGTGCAGACAGCAGACAGGTGAGGGTTTCACTGAACTGGTGGAACCTCTCTAATCATTTGTGGCGCGCGATTGCTTATGTTATATTCCCCACCGAAAAAACCGGAAGCGAGAAGCTCAATGTTTATAAAGACGCGAAATATTTTCTTAAAGTCCTCGGCGCTTTCCTTGTCATTTGCCTTCACGTCATGCTCCAATGCTTCTGCAGTGTGTTCGCATAAGTATGGACTTAATGAGAGGCGACTGCGTGGCAGTGGCAGATCCGTTTTGGCCGCGTTCAAGTCCAGAACATAACAGCCGAAGATCACGTGCAGAACTGGCAGCAGCAGTTCAGTCGTTTGATGACTGTTGGGGTCGACAAACTTCTTTCGGACTCACGATCTTTTGGTTGTTCTTGGACAAAACAAGTTCGCTGACCATTCTTGTGGTCCCAACCACTGAAGCGATTGAAACCATCAACAGAGTTTTCCAGCCTTCCGCACATTACCCAAATGGCTGGTCCGTTCGACACCAGGGTGCATCTCTTCGACACCACGCCCAATAGCGTGCTGACGGCCAGGGTGGCTCGCCCGGCCGTCTGGGGCAGGCGCCTCAGGCTGGCGGCGTGCGCTCGCGTGTTTTGTCAGCGTGCGCCCCCCGCCATTGACCGTCGCACCGGCGGCGAAAGCGCCCTGCTCTGCAGGGCCGTGCAGAAGCCGTCGGGCCGCACGTGGGTGGCGAGGCGGGGCTTACCTGCCGGCGGGCCGACAGAAAGCACTGCTGCGCGTGACATAACTCTGGAATTATGACCCTGAAGTTAGAGGAATGACCGCACCGGATCCCCACCCTCCGCGATCACGTCGCTCTTTACGCACTTCAGCTCGGTCTCCGAGCCTCACCGTTGCGGCACAGGGAGCGGATCAGGCGCCTGGCTATCAGGCAACTGGAATACCTCGGCCTGGGCTGACACAAGGTCAGCTGATCCCGCCGGGGGCAGGGAGGCCGGGGTGGGGTCACACGGACAGCACACAGAGCAGGCAGACCAGGGCGGGCGTGCGGCGACGGCCGCGCACAAACACACGGCCGACACCTGCTCCTGGGAGGTGGTCCGCAACTGCAGCTGCTTGAGCCGCTCCTGCCCCTGTTGTCCTGCAGGAGAGAGCGGCTCTGTACACAGTGTCAGCACGCCACGGCCGGCCCCGCTCAAAACAACGACAACTCGGCTGGAAACGTTAACGTCATCGCGTGCGGCTCGTTCCTGTAGAGACAAACACTGCCGATGAATCCTTTATCCACGACCGCGTGCGGTATTAAAGGGAAACAGCTGGATGGGCACTTAATTTGATTGGTGTAGAAATCTGGCTACTACAGTGGCAAGCAGGGACGTATGTGGGATTTAGTAATGGCGGGGGACACAAGTTACACAACAATTCAGTCCAGATTTACGCTTTAACATTGAGCTTTCTAACGGACCTTGTTTACTCGCGAGCCGTTTAATAATGTAACGCGTTTGAGAGTGCAGGGAAGTGCCACCAGGGACCACTACATGAACACTGCCTTGTTAGCGGATGAATTTCCAACATGTCACTAATGCTATGTTTTAGCATAAATAGGTTTCAATATTAATGATAGGAGCTAGCACGTAAGCGCTGAGGTTGTGATACTGCCATAAAGTCTCTTGTTATTTATGTGGCGTGCTGGGTTGTGGTAAGATAGAATATGCGTTACATATGCCCCAGAGTACACGAGAAGGAAAATGCCTGTGCGGGCGGAAATACTTAAAGCAAGTGTTCAACATTTGTGCAAAATTTTGACCTGAGATAGGCTGTTTAAAGATAATTAAATGCCGTTCACAACAGCACCCTTCTCAATGCTTGGTTTGCAACAATGCTAACTCTCTACAGACTAATGCCTTCAACCCTCTGGTTTCTGAGCTAGACGCCTGCGAAGTTGTGCAGGCTACTCCGTACCCACTATTTCAAGGTCTCCCAGGCATGCATGACGCCATAGAAACGCTACTCAAATATTGCCACTTCATTGGCCATGCGATCTTCCATGCCCCCCCCCCCAAAAATGATCGTGGAGTGGTGCGTGTCTCGCATACGTGAGCACATCATCCGGAACCAACCCACATCAGTTGGCCCTCAACCAACACTATGCACTCATTGCAGGTTTCTAACACGACTCACGTTTTGTTCTACGCAATACAGGAAAACGGACAGTGGTGCTTGTTCTAACGGAAAAGACCAGTAAGGGAATACTTAAAAATGGCGTCGTCTGAGCATGTGAATGTGGATAAACACTATGAAGTCAAGGATTAAAGGGAACGTTTCGCACTTGAAGACACTTAAGCACTCATCAGATATGATGAAACGAGCTCACTTATAAAAATTGGTAAACTTTTAAGTGGAAAAGACCGCTCTAGACAACACAATTTCTCTAATTGGTGATGATGCTCCTTGATACGTTATGCTCTGATGACGTCATCGTACCATGCACAACACTACTTGAGAGCAAACTGACAGCCGAAATATCAGAAAGTCGTGCTCACAAACGCCATTTACGAATGCCTCAACCATATCTTTTTCTTGATCTTGATCTCCATCAAGGCCATGAAAAAGATATGGTTTATGGAATGGCAGGATTTTAATGACGTTTGAATGTCAAGGTGACCTTGACATATTCTCCTCGCAACAGGCTCCCCGTCTTCGCGGGTGTGTAGCTCAGAACAAACCAGAGCGGTTCAGAACAACCTAGAGCGGTTAGGTCTTAAGAGGGGCAGGGCTGTGAACTGCACCGAATGATCAATGAGATGGCTATTTCAGTTTAAAACCCTACATAAATGTAGAGGACTTCCTTTAATATGCAAGAACACCACAAAGAAAGGTCAAAAGATGCGCACACAATGACATCAGGGTTTTGTAAGCGCCACGCCCATTATTACGACACCTCTCGAGAAGTTAAAGTACTACATGTGAGTCAGTTCGTCCGCTAGGGTGGCAATTTCGCACGGCGGGTCCGATAGCCCTTCCACATCATACAAGCGCTACATGACGAATCAAACAATGACGAACTCAGGAGCTTATTTATTAAATAGTGAAATTGTGTTGTCTTGTACAGTTCTTTGCACTTTAAGTACACCAATAGTGAGACGTGGGTTATTTCATCATTTCTGATGCTTGCGCCAATATCTTCAAATCTGGAACGCTCCCTTTAAGGGATATTTAACCAGAGATCAGTGATACATAACTTAAGCAGGGATATCCAACAGTAGCGATCTGTATCTTTCCCGGAAGTAAAGTGGCATGATAGCAAAGTGCCGTAATCTGCAGCCAGCATCAAGAGTCAGATCAATGAAATGGGTAAGCCTGGAATAGATGACCGGCTCCGCTTGCTGTGCTCGATGTTTCGTGGACTGTTCTTCCCATCGAGACACATGGTTTCATAATGAAATTGACTGAAAAATGAAAACAAAGTTTAAGGCATGGCGTCCGAGCGCGTGTCTCTTCAGGCGCAAGTAGCACATACCGCACCGCAGACCAATGCCTTGTCGCATCGATGGAAGCAGGAGCTGAACCGAGCAAGTGCCCTTGTCTGCTAATACAGATAAATTATTTATGACACGCTTTTCACCGCCCGCTCACAGTGCATGGCGCGCCGACCGCCACAGGTGTATGCCTTGAATCCTGCGCAGAAGCAGCTTCAGCGACAAACGCAGCAACTACCCAGACCCTGGTGCCGTCGAGTCTCACGGGACGGCTATTGGCCCGGACCCCTCCTTCGCAGCGTATCCAGCGGCGGCTACTGACCCGGAACCCCCCCCCCCCCCCCCTCCGCAGCATGTCCAGAGGCGGATACTCACCCAGACACCCCGAAAAAGACATCCCCGCAGCTTATCCAGTGGAAGCTACTGACCGGACCCCTCCTCCGCAGTGTGCCCAACGGCGGCTTCCGACCGGTCCCTCCTCCGCAGCATATCCAAAGGCGACTACTGACCTGGATCCCTCCTCCACAGCATGCACAGGGGCGGCTACTGATAGGACACCAGCTCCGCAGGGTGTCCAGCGGCGGCTACTCACCCAGACCACCCTTCTCCGCTGCGCGTCCAGAGGCGGCTATTGACCCGGATCCCTCCTCTGCAGCATGCACAGGGCGGCTACTGATAGGACCGCGCCTCCGCAGCGTGTCCAGCGGCGGCTACTCACCCAGACCACCCTTCTCCGCTGCGTGTTCAGAGGCGGCTATTGACCGGACCCCTTCTCCGCTGCGTGTCCAGAGGCGGCTACTGACCCGGATCCCTCCTCCGCAGCGTGTCCAGAGGCGGCTACTGATCCGGATCTCTCCTCCGCAGTATGTCCAGCGGCGGCTAAAGACCTGGACTCCCCCCCCCCTTCGCAACGTGTAAAGAGACGGCTATTGGCCCGGACCCCTCCTCCGCAGCGTGTCCGGAAGCGGCTACTCACCCAAACCCTTGTGCTGCAGCATCTCCAGCAACTTTTTGATGCTTTCGTCTCGACTGAGCAGCGTCTGCTTCTGCGCCTCGATCCTCAGTTCCAGTTCCTGAGGCAGCACATCTCCTTCAGTCACCGACAACGCTCAGTCACACGGTGGTGACGCTGCAGCAACGTCAGCGAGCGACTTTGTGAGGTTCATGATTGAGGTATTGAATGGACTTTCCAATGTGTTGCCAACTTAAATATCTGTCCTGAGAGCCGGTCCACTGCAAAAGTGATGCTCGACCAGCATGATCGTCGCCATGGGCACCGGAGCACCGGAAATTCTCCAAAGTGTTTGAGCGGTAGCCATTTTTGTTATCACTTTCTAGATAACGCTGAGGGAACCAACGATACAGTGTCAAAAGTTGGTGAGCTCAGCCCTCCTCAGCCCTCCCCACCTGGTGTTCACTGTGATGAGAACATCCAAACGCTCAACTGATACTTTACATGCGGAATCGACCAAAACTGCCTATGGAGCAACGGCTGTCAAGTCATTCCGCCGGTCGATATCTAAAAGTATGACCTCACACCCGCCGCTCACTGAGACTTACGTCACCTCACGTACAATCACGTTCAGGCGAGCTGAACGGCAAAACAGCGTTTTTGAACAACGCATTCTTAATCCTTGAATGCCCTTTACAGAACCATACTCACTGCCATATTAGGGTAGGAAATTCATCTGATCATTTTCGCCTTGAGCCCTGGATCCGTGTGAACGGCATTAAATGTCCAGGCACCTGTATCCAGATGGGTTGGAGCGCCTGCCTCTCATCACACCCGTGGCGTGGTGGGTGAGTTGAGCCCGGTCACTTCGACGCCAGGAATTTGCCCATCGGGCGAGAATGACTTGCGGCCCATTGCAGTGGCCAGTCGAGCATCGTAGGACATGAGACTTTCACCCCAAAACCCTCTCGTGCGGTTGGAATTTCATGATCTAGTGATCCACAGATCCATGTCACGGTAGGTTCTGCGTCCCGGTGCACGTACAAGCACTTCTCAGCATGCACTCTGATCCGAGGGATCAATGCGATCAAAAATTTCGCTGATTCTTGTTTTAAACATCTCAGAAATCACCCTCACACTATCGCACGATGCACGTTATTAGTCTGATCCAAGATCCCGGCATTCCAGGGTCTTTGCTAAATTCCTGCCATACCAGCTGGTACTCGGTGCGGAAATCGACAGTCCAGGTCCACATAAACTAGTTACAATGATGTTGCGCCATCATGCATTCGCATTTTCCATTGCGGCAGTTAGCAGCGGCAACGCTAAAGGTCAGTTGTCATCAGAGAGTAATATGGGCCGGACCAAGCGTTACGGAACGTTAATCCTTCGCCAAAAAATTCAGCCGTCGACCTGGAATTTCACGATGAGTTTATGAGCCACACTATGAACAGACTTAGCGTGGATTCTACAGGCAGAGATTATGCAGGTCACACAATAAGAAAAGCTTAGCAAGGGTTCGGCTGTATGCTAGTACACAAATCTTTATCAAAAGCAGATAATCGTGGTATCATACTTTTGATAGAAAAGAGACCGAAAATAATGAAGAGAACCCCAAACGTACATTGCTTCTCCTTAGTTGTGGAATGCCAATTGTGCTAGCATTCCAAGTCTAAAATCTCTCTCTCTCTCTCTCTCTCTCTCTCTCTCTCTCTCTCTCTCTCTCTCTCTCTCTCTCTCTCTCTCTCTCTCTCTCTCTCTCTCTCTCTCTCTCTCTCTCTCTCTCTCCTCTCTCTCTCTCTCTCTCTCTCTCTCTCTCTTCTCTCTCTCTCTCTCTCTCTCTCTCTCTCTCTCTCTCTCTCTCTCTCTCTCCTCTCTCTCTCTCTCTCTCTCTCTCTCTCTCTCTCTCTCTCTCTCTCTCTCTCTCTCTCTCTCTCTCTCTCTCTCTCTCTCTCTCTCTCTCTCTCTATCTCTCTCTCTCTCTCTCTCTCTCTCTCTCTCTCTCTCTCTCTCTCTCTCTCTCTCTCTCTCTCTTCTCTCTCTCTCTCTCTCTCTCTCTCTCTCTCTCTCTCTCTCTCTCTCTCTCTCTCTCTCTCTCTCTCTCTCTCTCTCTCTCTCCTCTCTCTCTCTCTCTCTCTCTCTCTCTCTCTCTCTCTCTTCTCTCCTCTCTCTCTCTCTCTCTCTCTCTCTCTCTCTCTCTCTCTCTCTCTCTCTCTCTCTCTCTCTCTCTCTCTCTCTCTCTCTCTCTCTCTCTCTCTCTCTCTCTCTCTCTTCTCTCTCTCTCTCTCTCTCTCTCTCTCTCTCTCTCTCTCTCTCTCTCTCTCTCTCTCTCTCTCTCTCTCTCTCTCTCTCTCTCTCTCTCTCTCTCTCTCTCATCCTTTGCCCTGATATTCATATCTAGGTCGTACCTTGACCGTGTCCTTGAGAATGGAGTTCTCGCGCGTTAGGTGGTCGTTTTCCACGTAACACTGGTCCACCTGCTGCTGCAGCTCCACCACTGCCTGCGTTTTGCCGCCACGGCTGTGTAACTCTTCCTCCAGCTGGCGTATAAGGTCGGCTTGTCCTCTGCAGCGAGGAACAAAGGAGATTATGTGTTGGCTGAGTGGCGAACTCCGGGCCACGCGTGGTATCTGTTCTGCTGGTGCAGCCCAGCGCTGAGCAGGAATGGCCCGAGCCCGAAAACCTATGACGTCCGAGTCAGCTGACGGCATATGAGTCCAGCTCCGAGTTCTAGGACAGTGTCCATGTTCGAGTCCAAGTCATAAGAGCATTGCTACGAGTCAGAGTTCACTCATTCAACATCGCGTGGGTATGTTTCACATGGCGTGGGAGCTCTCGCCGGGATCCGGATCCCAGGACCTGACCGCCAGCCGTGGCTGCTCTGCATCGGAGTCCGTGCTTTACAACACAGACCACCTCCTGAATACTAAACCAGGCACTGCGCAGCCATCTAAGCAGAGTTTCACAGGAGTCCCATTCTGAGACTCGGTTAAATCCTGGCCCTGCCCCGGTCCGACCCGGCTAAACCACACACTTTTCCCAGATGTCACGTGGCTGCGGATTTCATTTTCTCTGACTACGAACATCGCCACTAAATTAGTAGCATGGAGGAGTATGTCTGACTGTCACACCAATGCATCAGACAAGACGACAGCCAGTCTATCATTTTACTCACTGCCGGGATATCCATTTTGGATAATTCCGGCTCTTTCACCTCACTTTTTCACCTCGGAAAACATCTTTGACCACGGGACGAAATGTTTTGCCAATTCGCGAACGAACCGTTCCTTGGACAATAGTGCTACTGGAATTGGTAAAAACGGTTTTGGACTGCAGCTTCTGCAATGAAAATTTGCAACCACTCAGATAATTTTTTGATAAATTGCATTTGCTGTAGAACGGCGCATTTCGAAAAACAAGTTTCGATGCTGATGAAGACGATAGTCGTGGGTGGCGGCCCTTCACTGCGGCCAGGTTGAATGAAATGTTTGAATTGCCTCCCCATGATCTTCCTCTGCGATGTCATACACCAATCATGATGGGAATAATATTCTTAAGTCTATCTTCATGCACGTTTACGCACGGCAATTTGGTAAAAGCCACGCATGGGCTGTAACAAATTTCCAGGACCTTGGTCGCTGTGGAGTTCCTGCGCCAGCCCGACGGCAAAAGTAGAAGTTGCAGCAGCACACTATTTTGTGCAGCCTATTTCAAGCCATACAGGCATGCATGGCGCCATAGCAACGCCATTCAAATCTTCCTCGCAGACCAGGCAGCACTCAAGGCCAGGGATAACATTCTCGTCCAGCCGTTCAGTCCTGGTGTCCGTGTGCGCGATTTCCATATATAGTGGACGTTAGTTGGCTCTCAAACAATGTGAAGCAAGCTGTGTGGGCTTCAATCACGAAACACGCTTAGTGCTTCATAATTTATAAGTTAGATATGGTTTCTTCACTTGCTAGTTGTTTCGTGGCTAAGACTTGCAATCGAAGAACTTGGGAAAAGGCGCCATAACCGAGGATATGCATGCGAGTAAACATGTGTAACTTACGGATAAATGCGCAAGAAAGCTACGAGAAAAGGCCAGAGCATGAGTGTATATTCGTATTTGGCTCAGTAAAAACCTCTAGCCCGTGTTTTTATGTCTCCGCGAGCTTGTAGTACTACAAGAAGTGACAATTTCACACGGCTAGTCCTGGCTTACCTCAGCGTCATACAGACAATGACGTATTGAGGAGGATGGTTATTGTATAGAGAAGCTTTGTTGTCTTGAGCAGTCTTTTCCCCTTAAAAGTACACCAATAATTGTAAGTGAGTTAATTTCAGTATACCTGATGCTTGCATCATTAGAATATCATCATAAACATCTACACACATCCACACACCCACCCACATACAGACACACACACACACACACACACACACACACACACGCACATATATATATATATATATATATATATATATATATAATCACCATCATCATTATCAATATATATTTGTCATATACCTGAATGTTGCTTCACCATAGAAGTGGAGCACTGCTCATAATATCGTAATCTTCCAGGATACGCTAGTTTATAGCTGACAAGTGGTGATCACAATACGACGCATCTTACGAAAAAAGATGTACGTTCAAAAATTTCCGCATCGTTGCTCATGACCTTAATTTTTCGGAGTCGCCTTTTTATTGCCATGGTCGGAAAGATCATGATCATGATCTTTCGATGACTATCGATCAGTTCGGATCCGTACATCTCGGTGCTTCCACGTCTTCTACCTTCTGCACTATCCTTTCCACTAAAGTCAAATTGCCGAAATATTGACTCTGCATGTTTACTACCGCACATTTGTTCACGGCAATATGTTCTAATAATGAGGAAAGCCAAATCAAGTTGTTTGTTATTTGTGCAGCCTTGAGCACTTCTCGCGAGTCATGACAACGTCCGCCGCCATCTTGAATGTCCACCAATTTTCTTATTTTGATCTGAATTTGATAGGTGGCAGTGTAATATCGCTTCATGGCGTGAGAGGGGGGAGGGGGATTATCAAGGGTGGCGAGTCAATTTCTGGACTTATCTTTGGGCTACGAGGCCTAATTCAGCGCCAAATCAGGGGCCAAATAAAAAACACAGAGAAGAACTAAAGTACAGTCTTACATCTAGAGAGACCTTCAGCGCACTACTACTAGCCAGCACCTGTCACATTCCTTTGCTATTTTTCACAGTCATCATCCCTTTGTGCACCTAGCTCCCCTTCTTTGCCTTCAAAGTCAATCTGCTTGCATGACCAACGGCTAAAGTACGCGATTTCTCTCTAACACTTTGTAGTAGTTTCTGCGCCAAAGGCCTGCTTTGTGGCTGTTGCAGCTGCAGTGTGCAACGCTGCATGCCTTGCTTTCAACGGCGCAGGTGCAGGTCACTAAATCCAGGAACTCTTTGGGAATAACTGCTGTTGTCGAGACGCCGGTATGATAGTGTAAACTTCGACGCTCCATCCCAAGTTAGCAATGTCTCTAGTTTCTCCTCTGGGGAAAGGGAGGAGGCCATGGGGAAATTTCTTCGGAAAACGACACGAGAAGTGTTGTGGGTCATTCGAGTCTCCAAACTTTCAGGTAGGCTTCTCCGATCCCGGAAATTGGCTAGACGACGCAGTACAGCAGCTGACTGATGTCAGCCAACATCTGATTTAATGGCACTGCGGTCTCGCTGTCCGCACGCGCCGTCAGTCGTGCGCGCCCACCAGTAGCTCCTGCCTGGCTTGCTGGGGAAGGTGCTTCATCTGTCTCACATGTCGGCGCAGTAAGCGAGCATGATTGTGGAGACCTGCCGCGAAGAAATACGACAGCATTGCCTTGAGACAGTGCTGCTGAAGTAGAAAGTTGTTGTTCTGCCCTCCGCGAGGGAGCATTAGTGCTAGCAGTGTAGGTTTGAAGAGTCATTCACTTACATACTTCAGGTCAGGTGTATTTTGGCCGTCTCAAAATAATCCCTCAGCTCCTGGCATGTCTTGGCACCTTTCGAGCAAAACTTCTGCCGCAGACCGACAGTGAGGTGTCCACTTCGCGACTTACCCACCAGGCTAGGCAACTGCAACGCTCAAAGTGGGCTGCCAATCTGAAGGTACATCAGCTGCCGACAAGGCTCTGTTCGCGGAATAGTCGCAGATTAATTTCACTGCCGTCAGTTTCAGCCAGCAGTGAAACGCGGCGTAGCTGTCGGAAGTCCACAAAACTAGAAAGCCAGCCGGATGGACGGGCTTCAATGATCAGCGACACCGACCGGTGGCGGGCTCTGTCCCGAATTCTGAGACACGCTGGTGGTGTTCAGACCGATGGTCGACTCGCCACCTGACGGCCAGACACCCCTCTGTCCACGCTTGTGTGTCTCGAAAAGACTCAGTGCTCTCGGGATACAGCACACGTACCTCACAGCAGACCTCCCATTGGATCGGACTGCATGTCTGGTCTAATGCAACAGCCCTGAGTGCCGGATCAACCTCATGCTTCGCTTACGCGGGCATGATGCGCTCCCATGGGTGTCCTGGGCTGTGCAGAGACACTGATGAGGGGTCCTGTCGTGAGCGTAACTATGGGTGCGGTGTTTGGTGGCGGCATCACCAGCAGTACGAACGGGAAGGCCTGAAATCACGCCCTAAGGGCATCCGCCTCAAAATCGCCGTGCTGCTGTAAATCTTCTGCCTAAGGGCAACAAGTCATGCCAGGAGCTAGGCGACAGCCTGGAGTCAACCCGAGAGCACTCGACCGGGAGGATATGGGCATGCTCCTTGGTGGAGGGGTGATGTAAGGGAACAAAACGTAAGTGACTGTAAGAAGGGACATGATCTTGAGTATCAACAGGGTGCAGATCGACCACACCACTGATATTTTACACTGTTTGACCTGCATCCAGCTACGGTGACCTAGCTGTCTTTTTGCGTGCGCTGTTTTCTAAACAGCAGACGCCTGACAGTCTCACTTCAAATCAGTCACTGCAATGGGACTTCAGCATCTCTTGGGTAATCGCAATATGAGCCCGCAAAGACTGTCTTGTTTCACACCTTCTGCCCATCGATATAAAGCTACAGTAGCACGATTTGTGAGCTAAGATTGCACGTGCGGGCAGAGTTGTGTTCCACTCAAAGCGTATCGCTTGGCAGCGACGAGTATCTGAACGGGCACTATGGTACGTCCAATAGTATACGCCAGTGTGTACATTTTAGACTCCTATAAACAGGCGTCGTATATGTAACACATCATTCCGTATCATTATGGCTTATAAGGCATGCAGCTGCTGAGAGTTGTACACTCCTAATGCGTGCAAGAAGGCAAGCGACATATTATCGGTAAATACAGTGAATTTGGATTATTCATCATTAAGTTTGAGTTTTGACTTGCGATTTAACCTTGACTTTGACACTATACCTTAGAAATAACCGCATAAATAAACTCATTCCCATAGAAGACCCTTAAAAACGCTGTAACACAAACCTCCACGTCATCGAGAAAAACAACTTAGAAACAAAATCAATATTCAAGATGGCGGGTGCCGCCACATTATCACATATCGTTGCACATATATCAAATAGGCTAATTTGGATCTGCTGGCCACATAGAACATACATGTCCTTGAAAAAGATGGTTTTGACAAAAACCCAGGCCGCGGCGCCGTGATATGTGACAATTTTGAGAGTGCTTGTTTCAAAGTACGCGTCTCCCGCGAGGCGTTACTGGAATGTAACGCGAAATAGGTTTTGCACCAAATTTGCTGATGGGCGAACAGGTTTTAAGTCACGGGTTGGTTCGAAAACACGACTTGCTTTGTGACTTATGTGATCGCCCCGTCAGCCATCTTCTAATATCCTCTTGGCGAAACCAAATCATAAGATTCTTCTGACTGCTCAAGCCGTTCCTTTTCTCCAGTCATGGATCGAATTTCGTTACGGGCGTTTACACTGGCACAGTGGGCACCATATGCCTCAAGTCGTAACGTGTCTTTAAAGCTCATTCATCGGCATAGATGTAGCGCGTCACATCTTGGTCGCAAATGAGCGTTGCCAGATATTGCGTAGCCGCTAATGGTAATCACGTCATGTCATGACGTCATATCGGGTAGGAGCAGTAACGGATATATCGGGAGCGGTAACGGGGGGACCAGGAGCGGTAACCGATATATCGGGAGCGGTAACGGATATGTCAGGAGCTGCAAAGAATATGTCAGGAGCGGTAACGAGTACGTCAGGAGCGGTAACGGATATATCCACAGCGTTGACGAACATATCAACAGCGGTACCGGATATATCAAGAGTGGTGACGAATATATCAGAAGCGGTAACGGATATATCAGAAGCGGCAACGGATATGTCGGGATCGGTGGCGGGGCTGCCGGCTGATGACTCCCGCCAGCAGAGGGCTCCCGCCAACAAAGGCCTTCCGCCAGCAGAGGGCTCCCGCCAGCTGAGGTCTCCCACCAACAAAGGTCTTCCGCCAGCTGAGGGCCTCCCCAGCTGAGGGCCTCGTCAGCCGAGGGCTCCCGCCACCTGAGGCCTGCCGCCGGCTGAGGGTCCCCGCCAGCTGAGGGCCCCACCTGCCGAGGGCTCGCGCCACCTGAGGCCTGCCGCCGGCTAAGGGTCCCCACCAGCTGAGGGCCCCGCCTGCCGAGGGCTCCCGCCACTTGAGCGCTCCCGCCAGCTAAGGCCTGCCGCCGGCTGAGGGCCGTACGCCGGGCGGCGTGGGCTCGCCATTGAACGGGCCTGACTCACGCTGGCTGCCGGCCAGCTGGCCGTGTTTTGGCGCCTGTCCGGTACCTGTTAGCAGCGACCACCGCTGCCCACTTATATTGGGATCGTGGGCTGCACTCTTCAAACCGCAGGTGTGTGGGAGAACTGCGCACGTTTCGATGATACCCGTCTAGCAAGGGCTTAATGCCGATGTACAATGAAGCAAGTCCAAATTTGCTAGCAGCGAACGTTCAGTGATATCATCACGTTTATTCCATTACATCATACCAGCAACCGCCACACGAAGACCCGGCTGGTGCTGTTCGTGATAACACGTCATGCCATGAGCATCGATACACCAGGCATACGCGCCCGTGAATGCGTCCCCCAATAGCTGGTGATAATGCGAGCGGTGATTACCTGCATAACATAATGTGCATTTTGAAGCGACTAGATTATATCAGACAGCGCCCACAGCTGCTTGCAGCCGTGTTCCAGTGTTCTGGTCGTGCTCTTCGGTGTTCTGACTTTGTCCTCGTTGTCTCGCGTCATGGCATTCTCGGTGTCCCTGCGTGCTGCTCGCACTGTCGCGTCCCCCCTCCCCTCCACGTCCCTTAATGCCGAGCCGATACACGTCCCCTGCATTACATTACACCCCATCCGAACTGTCACACGTCCCGCGATGACCGGCGCCCATGCTGTCTCGCGGCTCCCCGGTACCCCTCCCGACGCGGCAGACCCTGAACTTGGCCGGTCGCCATCACGGTCGTCGCAGCTTTGACGTCACGACCCAGCGACCGGCCTGGCCCCCAGTCTGGCCCCAGATCGCTGCACCGGTGCCAAGCACACACCGAAATACGGCGATTCAAGTGCGCATATAATAATGCAAAGGTGGCTGTTGAGCACTATAAGCACTTTAGTGCCACAATGTGTGGGGAAACGTCCTCGCATTGTGAGACATTCCGGCGTCCATAGTAAGACAAAATATCAAACACAATTTTCGGCTTTTAAGGTGACTTCCAAGCTCCCGCAGATCCCTTCAAACATTTCGGATGCCCGGAGCGGAGGAAGCGGAAGCGGTGTAATCCCAGCGGAGGAAGTGTAATCCCAGCGGAGGAAGCGTAATCCCAGCGGAGGAGGTGCAATCCCAGCGGATGCACCCCGTCTTGATGCGACACCAGCCCATATTTGCACACATTTGGCCGTCGGTGATAGGCGCAACGTTCTCCCTGATATGTTGAGAAAACAAAAACACTCGACCGTAATGCGCTGCTGCGTAACATTTGCTTCTTGCTTGTATCAATTTTAGCTTACGGTTTATTTCGAACTTCGTGATAAGACATTTCAGAGATCAGTGCCCACGGGAAGCAGTGCTTCGCATGGTGTCCCGACACCACCATCTTACGGTGAAATTCAGAGTCAGCTGCATAATTTTATGGCAGAAGCTTAACGTAGAGCCATACCCAGGGCGGCAAGCGCCGCGATTCCGGCTGTCCTACCCTCTGACGTCACGTAACCTTAAGCGCGGCTGCTGCCACCGGCCGCAGATCATCCCAGCCTGAAGCAAAGAGCAAGCGGCTAAGGCGACCAGAGCCCACCCTACCACGACCGGGGGGGATCGGAGGGCGGGCGCTCCATCCCGCTGATGTATCGGGACGGACAAACGGACCGACAGGAGGGCCGTTTCTGTCCGTACCGCGGCGTCGAGCGGTGTCTGGCCACGAGGCTGGCTTAAGACTGATCCCGAGCCAGCCTGTTAATGATAATGCCGGCTTACGGCGCATAGCAGGCCGAACATGCTGAGTTCGGCGGCCATGCATTCCAAACTAAGGCACTAAGTGCATGGCATTTGCTATACATTTCGACAAAAAGACCTGTCAATTTGGATGTCTGTCCTGATAGGAAACCTTCAGTCCTGGTGCACGGGATCGACTCTGGCCCCGACTCGGGGCATACCAGCACACTTCTGGGTCGTCGTCGGCTTCGACTGAAGGAGATGGGGCTGTTTCCGTAGTCGGTCACAATGAACTTCATTCTGGTCTAAACTCGTCAGGAGATACGCTGTTCTTTGAGGTTCATAAGCTCCTGCACCAAACAAATTTGTGATAATAAAGCCATGGCATACATTGCGTTTCATCTGTTGCACACATAAGCGCTGTCAACACTTCCCAATCTTGATTGTTGCTGACATTTTGTACTTAGGCCGATCCATCGATAACTGTTGCCAAGGAGGTTGAGGAAAGTCCACCCGCTAAACAATTTAAAGGAATCAATTCCTACGTGGCCCAGAGCGAGTTAAGTTAATTCCGAAGTGAGTCCGACAACTCCACCCGGAGACAAGTGTTCCACCAGCCAAGTATGGTGTCTGTTGCGAGGCGCGATGTTTAGGCGCAAAACGACGTTCGGAGTCGACGACCCCTAGTACACCAGCATGATGCGTAGTGACATGCATCAAATCGCGAGCCGACAGTCGTCGCACATGTCGTTCGCACAAATGACTTATTTTGCTGACGCATGCTGGCGGTGAAACTTCATTTCCTTTTACGAGACATCAAGTGATTGTGCATTCACGAGACGTTCGTTGCCTTGTGATAAGTTCGTAATTTTTTTGGTGGTCTGTTATTAGCGTCGAGCCCTTCGCCACCTTCTTTTGGGACATACTCGTTACAGCTTTGTCTTGGTTGCATGCAACTGAAAAGCTTGATGCAACAGCAGCTGTCTGAAAACGCAGCATTGCTGTCACGGCACGCTGGGAGAACTGCTCTCCTGCATTAAAATACTAATGCATCAACCAACTTGTAAGCTCGAACATTCCGAACTCACGTGCGTTCAGCACGTGCTGATGAGACTCGGATTTTGTCCGGTAGCAAGTTCGACTCAACTTTCAAGTCTAGCCAGGTCAGACAGATGTCCTCGAATCGGACCGGTCAGACAAGATGTCATCCTATAAGCCAGCTTATTAGTAGCTCGTAAGCGTCTCTGTGCTGGGAAATTACATGTTTAGTTGTCAGTAACCTGTCAGGACAGATGAAACAAATACACCAATGCAAAGAATTCACGGCATTGTTCGACGTCGATCAACTTACACGAAACATTGCGCACAACGGAGGGCCGAGGTTTGAGGCATATTGCCACTTGGGTTCGAGAAATGCTCCTAAGGCGTCGTTTTTCACGAGGAAGAGGGGCATCATCCGCACCGGCGGCCGTGTCATGACCTTGTGTAGCGTGTTATTCCCTAGCATTATATTGTTAACAGGTGATGCAGGCCAACCGATCTATGTCTGACCTGTCCCGTCTAAGGATGTTAGTCTGACCTAGCCGGACTTGAGTCTAACAGCCTGACCTGTCACCCGGCGGCTCTCGAGTCTGGTCTGTACGGCCCCACTGGACATTAGTCAGAAATGTTCCAGTTTCATCCCGCCTTGTCGCACATTAGCCCCCGAGTCTGATCTGCACGACCTGACCAGACATTAGTCTGACCTGATCGGACCTGAACCTGACCCGGTCACACACCGCCCTGACCCGTCATATCACCGGCGCGGACCGCCTGACATTCACCTGTGTCTCGGCCGTCAGCAGCTGAATCTGGTCGCTCATCATGCCGTACTTCAGGGACTCATCCTTCCGCATCTGCCGCTCTTTTTTGAGTTCCGGAGACCAGAACGTCTTGATGCTGTGCATACTGGAGCCCAGCTTATGCCCGGTGAGCTCCAGTTCGCGGCGCAGCTGGCCCAGCTCGCGCTGGAAGTCACCGTTCTGTGCCTGCAGCTCCAGGATGTACGTGTCGCGCGTCAGGCCGTGCTTGCTGCTGAAGTCGGCGTTGGGCGAGTGGAGGGCGGGGCGCGCCGACTGCTGGCCCGGCGTCGGCCCGTAAAGACCCTCCTCGTCCGAGGCGGCCCGCTCGAGCGGACGGTCGCGGCGCAGCGCGCCCAGCTCAGCCCCGCCACAGTCTCTCACCGGCTCCCGCCCAGCGCCCGACCCGTCCAGGCCGCGGGTCTCGCGCTGCCCGGCGCCCCGCGAGGAGGAGCGCACCCGCGGCCGCGGCCCGTCGCATTCCAACGGCTCCATGGCAGGGATGACCGGTCGGTGACCCTGGAGGGGCGCAGCCGGCGGACTGGCTGACGGACCCCGCCGGACCCTGGAGCTGGCGCGGCGAGACGCTGCCTCCGACGGCAGACCGCCGCTCGTCACCGAGTCAGCGCCGGCGCACGAGCCGTACAACTCTCCGGACATGCCCCACTGACCGCTGGTTCGTCGGACCGACGCGCCGTCCACATGTCGCACCGCGGCCCCGGACGCCCCCGAGCCTGGCCGCACTGCCGCCCAGCGGCCGGCGGCCCGACGCCTTGCCTCACCTCGGCGGCTCCGTCGGCCGCCACTGCAGACGATCAATCGAGGACGACGCACACCGACGGCCCGGTTGGCCGGGTGTTATGTTGGCGGGCGGTGGGAGACGTCTCGCAAGAGACGACTTCAAAGCGACGTAATGGGGGCAAGAGGCATGCTTCGGCTCGGATGTGGAAAGTGATGCTGACTTGTGACTAATGCGCACCGAGATGAGTAATTAACAGTCCTGTCAGAACTTCACAAGTGAAACCAACGGCAGACTACGCGGCTGAGCATTAATGATGCACCGCACAGTCCGTAGAAGTTGTCCGTGAAAAATATGACTTTCAAAGAACGTAGGTCAAACGAATATTCTGATTTCAGTTGCCCACTCATCTTAAAGGGAGCATTCCACATTTGTATGTGGGTTTTTGACTGAAACAACCATCTTGAAGATCATTCCGTGCAGTTCACAGCCATGCCCTTCTTAGGGCCTAGCCCCCTCCAGTTTCTAAGCTATACGCCCACGAAGATGGGGAGAAAATTCCGAGGAGAATTTTCAAGGTCATCGAGACATCCATGGCGTCATAGGACGTCATTTAAAGTATGCCATTCCATTGGTCATACAGCGTTCAACGCTAATACAAATATGATTGTCTAGTTGTTCATATCTGACGTTTGTGAGTACAATTTCCAGATGTAACGACCATCAGTTAGCTCTCAATCATCGTTGTGCAACGTGTCCTGACGTAATCAAACAATGACGTACCGAAGAGCATATTTACTTAACAAAACAAAAAATGGTGTTGTCAAGAGCAGTGTTTCCCACTTAAAACTATACCAATAGCTATAAGTGAGCTCATTTCGTCATATCTGATGCTTGCTCCAATATCTTCAACTGTAGAACATTCCCTCCAACAGTTCATGAAAAAAATGATGCGCTCTGAGAAGCACGATAGTAAACATAGCTTCATCACGCCAAGGTACGCCTTCACGTTTTCTCATCAAAGACTATTATACAGGCGTATACGTAACGACGATTTTTGATTATATTTATGATCCCCAACTTGCAAATTTCTTGCCGACACCTGTTCCAGATATCGTTTGCATGCATCCCACCCATCAACATTAATGTATTCGTTCACAGGACAGGCTCTCCTGAGAATGCATGTGCATGGCTGCAACGGGGACCACCGGGCCGCTGCGCATTACCGAAAAGGATCGCATATCCCTGGTGGAGGAGATGATGACTGCGGCCAGGCGATAGGCATTCCCATGTAGCGGAATTCAAGCCGGTGTGGCGGGGTGCGGGCGGAGGAGAGGGGGTGGGGGTGGGGGGGGGGGAGGGGGGGAGGGGGGGGGGGAGGTCGTTCGTCAGCCCGCTGAGCTCGGCCGCCACGCTCCGACAATAACGTGACTCAGCAGACTAACTGCGGCCTGGCGCATCTGGACACCACACATGCCCTGCCAACTGTTCAAGTACCGTGCAAAAGCAGTTTATGGAGCGAAATTCAGGTGATTGGTCAAATAACCATAACTTCCGTGCAGTTTCCAAACTTTGAAAGCGAAGTTGAAAGTGACCGTCATCATGGGCGGCGCCGCGGATTTATAGTTGTGGGGAAGGACTTTGCAGAGAGCCTCCTGGACGGAAGGGGGGCGTCCTTACAAGGGCCTCCTCACAGGGGCCTTCTTACAGGGGCACTCCTGGACAGTACTGTATTCAAGGGAAGGAGCTCCAGAGGCACGTACTACCTCATCGCATTGTTACAGGCAGGGGCGTCACTCTATATTCTTTCGGGGGTCTGAGCCCCCCCCCCCCCCCCCCCCCAATGCTGACTGGAGCTCCCTACCCCCGCGCCAACGCCCCTATGAGCGTCTCATTGCATATGAGTACATAGTGAATCTCGAACCAAATGAATACAGAAAACTAACTATTCGTATACTAGGTGGGGGTACCAGCAGAGTGGTTGATATGCTACGCGCCTGGGAAACCCGACGCGCGGAATTCAACTCCCCGCTTTGACCAGGAGCACAGCCGACCACAGTAGAGGTGCGACACCGAGGTTACCAAATGGCCCCTGCTGGTGGAAAGGCAACAGGCAATCCAATCATCCAAAATTACCCTCAAAATGAGCCACCGGATTCAGCCACATTTTTTAGATAAATTCTCTTTTCTTATATATGCAGGCATTTTTGTTGTCGAGGTTGTTTGACTGAAAGGGGCTTCGAAGGCTGCCAGAACGCATTATTACCTATTCATGTAGGTATCTACAAGCAAATACAACAAAATCATCCGGGAATCAGATGACTGCAATCTGCGATATGTACCGCGGACGTTATTCACATGACTCTGCTTCATTCGGCCCTCTCGATAAAACGCTAGCAGCCAGGGGCGCTGTCGAACTTTCTCGGCGATTTACAAAGCTATTAAGGGGTCCGTAGACTAGACGCCAGGGTAACTCGACACGGGGTCCAAAATTTGCATTGATACACCTCGGTTTTGTTTGCGCGTAGAAACTTTTATGAAATCCAACGGCGAAAAATTAAATAATCTAGTTTTAAGTATGCCCACTTTCAGAATGTCTAGGACAATGAAAACATAAGCTCGCCGTCGCGGTCGCCTTGGACCTCGTCGCGCCGGCTCAGCAGCGAAGACTTGGAGGGCCCAACTGGTGGGCAACAAAGACGACATGTTGGAATATGTTGCTTCCGAACGCTGTATGGATAAATTCATTTGCGTGCACAATTTTTCCGTGTGGTAGATTTCAGTTGTGCGACGTTCGGACTGATCTCGGAGCAGATCAGCACGTACAACACTACAAACCCATGATGCCATGACATAATCTCGAATGCTCGTGTCGCTGTAGCTGCTAGTTTCGTTCAAAGAATCAACTTCGGAATCGCGCAAATGAAATATTCTGGACATGAGCTGAAGGGCTCTTCCGTTCCAGCCTGGGAAACCCAGTACCTGGTATTATGGCGATATGCGGACTCGCAGAGGGATGCATCATGCGCCAGTCTCGCAATTCTCTTCTCACTGTACGTTCCAAAAAGAGCACCACCCTCAAGGTAGCCTTGACCCACCGAACCACCGCTTTGGCTTTTCTCCGACCTCGCTTTGGACATCTTGGAACTGTAGCTTCAAAACAAACGACCAATGAGGTTTCCCGGGACCCGGGGATACCGGGGCTATGCGGGATCTCCTGCCATATCCTGAGCGTACGGTGAGCCCCCGAGCAGTCAGATAGGTACATCAGTTGCCGAAGGACTCCTCGATGGACTGCATGACTCATTCCTAGCTAGGAAGGCGCCTGAGCGGTAAGATAAACACTGAGCAGGGAGTCTTGGACGCTTACTTCGCCCATAAAAGGTTCCTGAACGGTTGGGGCGGCTCACGAACAACCAGTGGGGCACACGAAGGGTCAGCAAGACTGTTGGGCGGTAGCGGCGTCCAAGAGCGCCCTGAACAGCTTACAAGACTCGGTGTGTCCAGAGGATCGCGAGTGCGCAGCATAATGAACCTGATGACCAAACAGTGAAAGAGCCAGTGGGTCCTGAGTAGCCAAATAAGTACTTAGATGGTCAGTAGAACCTCTGAGCCATCATAGGTGCCTGCTGATACCCGAAGGAGCCCCGGGCGGTCAGTAAAACCCCTGCAAACAGTCACCGGAAACGCCGCTGGCCAAGAACTCTTTACTGGCGAGAGCGGCTCTCTGTAGACAGAAGGGCCTGAGTTGCTGAAACAGCGCACGAGTGACTTCTGGTACACAAAAGCCCCCAAAGACGCATCCATCAACATCTATTCGGGACCTTAATCGTCGTTCCCGAGGGGTCCTTCAAACCCGTCGTCGAGTCCCCTCGATTTTCCTTCGTTTTTCTTTCCCAGGTGATCTCGCGGCCATTTCCCAACACAGAACCCTATGTTAGGCACTCTGGGCACATTGACCTGCAAACGGGGCCCTCATTGACTCAAGGGTCCCGCACCGTTATAAATCGCAGGCCTCGGTCTTGTCCCTTTTTGGGAAATGGGCCCTCAGGCCAAGATCGACATGGAGCCGACTGTTCGGTACCGGTGGTGCCTGATCGACGAAGGGACGCTTATCGGTTCTGGATGCCCGTGATCGGCGCAAAATGGCCCGCTGACAAGCATTTGAGGGCCGGTCCTGCAGGCCGGGGCTCCTTCTTAAGACCTCCGATGAGATCTTAAGGGACCCTTCAGAACCTCAAATTGGTCCATGATCGTCTGTCCTGAGATGCCCTTACGGGGGGGGGGGGGGAGCACATGACCCTTTTGTATCCACCTGCCCGCACCACTGGAGGTTCCTGAGCGGTCGATGCGACCCCTAAGCGGCCAAAGAGACCCCGAGTAGTTCCCCATAATGTTCAGCAGGGAGTTTGAAAGGTCGCAGGGCTCTAGTGACTATAATGGCCCTTGAGAACCACAGTGCCTCTGGACGTGCCCGCTGAGCGGCCAGGAAGTGCCTGCTGAGTGCCAGAGAGGGCCACGAGCTTACCTCATGGGGCTCACTGGACAGCCAGAGGCTCCTAGGGTTTTGTATGAACTTCTGTTTGGCAAATACATTTCTGGCTATGTTTATATATCTGTTTTTTGACACCTTGTCTTTAGTGGTATCGAGCAACATAGTGTTATTTCATCGTTCACATCACGCACGGGGCAGTGAATATTTAGGCCTGCGTTTTCGCGTGGCTTCCTGCTTCTGACGTCAGGAAGAAGTCAGGTGAGAGAAGGATGCCAACCAAGTGTTGCCGCTTATTCGGGTCCTTGGCTGGGCACGGATTGCGGTGGATTGGTTGTTGGTGCGGTGCCCTGAGAGTCCCCAGTACTGTTAAATGCAAGGTGTCGGTTTGTCAAAATGCCAAGATGTAAACTTTCAACAAAATTTGTTCCTGCCACCTGTGCGTGGGTGATGCTTCTAGGATGCACCGGAGGTTATTTCTATTTCCCGTGAGTATGTTTCGTCTTGCGTTCGCCATATATACCTGTTATGAAAGGTTGGGTGGGGAATGCGGGTTTTTAAGACGCCACGTTAGTAGGAAACAGCCGTTCATTGTACACGATTCTTACTCAAGACAGATAAGTCACATCGGAATTTGTAGTATGTCGTATAGGATTTTATCTGTACTCTATTGCCGTATGATGTGGACAATGCTCAATATGCATCCAGCAAATGTCCACAATGTAAATATAAGCCCTTGCAAATAAATCCTTTCCCTTTGTCCACCTCCACACATGATTCACTATTGCTCATACACTGTCCCTGGACCTAGAACCCACACATCTGACCTGCCCAGCCTATTTGTCAAGCCTGAAGTGCTCAGATGCTGACTGGTGGCCATGCAGTTTGATGCCACTTGGCTGATTTTGGGTGGCGGGAGGGGCAACAGGCAGTGCAACCCAAGGTGGGGATGCCATGACATGAAAAATGATATCTCTGCCACCCAAGAGACAGAACAATGAAACTCTGGAATTGGGTCCTCTCCCTGGTGGGAGGTGATTTGATTAGTACAAACTTGAGATAGTTGTACATGCAAAATGAGGCAAATTGTAAGATTATTTTTATTTGAGCAGTAACCAAGTGAGGAGGAACTAGCTTTGTACTACAAGAGGTCATAAGCAAAAGGAAGAAAAAACTTTGGTAGCCACCAGGTCACAAAATTCAAAATAGATTATGTGATGACTGATGAAAACAGTGATGTGCATAAAAAAAATCTGAAAGATATGGGTATATCAACAATGAAATATGGTAGAGGACTAAGTGATTCAGGAAACTATGAAAAGGACTATGTGTTTCCAAAGCTGGCGACAATGGCTTGAGCAAAGGGACTGACTGAAACAATGATAATGTTCAAGTTTTAAGAGATAATATGGTGACTAGAATGCTGCATTGAGGCCCAATTGGCCCAATTGCATGAGGTCCAGGAGTAAAAATGTCATAGGAGACTGTGGATGCCTAAGTGTCCTCTTAACAAGGGGACCCTAAAATTCCAAGGGTCCTTTGGCATTAGGGCTATAGGTCCAAGTAGCATCCCTTTGACAGGGAACCCAGAAAGTTGTGGAGCTTCCTGATCTTACCTGTGGAGGGCCAAGACACCTCTTTCATAGATGTTGTAAAGGTAGGTTAACTTGTAGGTCTATTGCAAGGTCTGCAAATGCCCATGCATGTCCAGAGGTCCAATCTTCAAAGGAGCCCCTTGGGACAGCAGATGGGGCTCTAGATATTCAGGAGTCTCATTCAAATATGACCCCTTTTGGTAATTGGGTGTGATGCACCAAGAGTTCCCTGAAAAAAAGCATGTTTGATGGAGGATCTCTAGAAGTTCTGGCTGCTTCTGTGGTAGGGGTTCCATGAAGTTGAAATTACCCTCTTTGATGAGATGAAAGAAGTCCAGTTTGTCTCTCTTGCAGTGTTTGCAACCAGGCATCCCAGGATTTCAAGAACCCTGAAAGCCCATTTTCCCCTTTGCCTTTTGGACCCTTGCCTGCATCCCCCCCCCCCCCCCCCCACCAAGGAAGTATCCCTGAGAAGGAAGCCTTCAGCATGGACATTTTTGAACCTTTAGTTTTATGTGGGACCTGTGCATGGAACTTTTGACCACCATGCATGGCGGGGGGGGGGGGGAGGCGAGTAGAGGGCCTGATTGTGCTTAGCCTGGTCATGCTGCTGGTTGATAATGATTTTATTAATTTGGTGTTTAATCCTTTGTTGATCAATATTGGTCATGCTGTGCTACACTGCTTCCTTGCATAGGTGTTATCGCCCAGTCTCCCCCTGGTGGTAACCACAGTGGTCCGCAAAAGGCCATGCATCTGTGGTCACTTTTGAAAACATGACATTGGCTGCTTCCCAGTTGACTTATGGCATACCTATCACTTAGAGAGGGCTGCCATGGCTTTGTGATTTGTAAATAGTACATTTACCAAAAAAAGAACTGTTCTATGTCCATCTGCACTAACTGCAGATGTCATATGTCAGTAGGCAGCAACACACCCAAACAGGTCAGTCTGTGGTCCCAATTAAAAGATAATTGTGGGTTGTGGGCATCAAACTGTAATGTTACACATTGTCTTTTGTGCCCTGGGGCAAAACCTGTTAGCCTCATGTCACTGTAGTGCCATGTTGGTAGTTGTATTATATCACTGTGTGTCATGCTGCTGGTATTTGCACCTGCTTCATACTCTCATGTTGTGGTTTTCATTCTTTGCAAATTTTTTATTTCTGTTGGTTATCAAATAGATATTTTGAATTTATGCTGCATGCCCTTTGAAGAGTTTCATTTCACTTTAATTGTGGTGTGGTTAAACTTGTGATATAGTGACTGGTTGCTAACATTTAACTTTCTAGAACTCCAGCTGACTGGGCCAGGTGGCCTGCTCTAGATCAGAATGACTCTGTCACCTATGTTAGATTTATTCAGCTGGAGGCATTGCTGGTTAAGATTACCTAGGTGTGTTCAAAGCTGTCTACAACCATTGTGTTCTATGTGTGCCTCTTGAGCACATTTTGTCATTTTAATAAGCTGGAACATAAATTACAATGAGTTGATGCATTTATAGAGCAGGCATTGTGCAGTGCACACAACATTCTGAGGATAGCACCTACATGTCTGCTAGTCAGATGCAGGGAGCACCCACATGTCTGCTACTCTAGTACAGGAGAGCACCCACATGCCAGCTACTCTAATATAGGAGAGGACCCACAAGTCTGCTACACTTATGCAGGAGTGCACCCACATGTCTGCTACTCTAGCACAGGAGAGGATCCACATATCTGCTACTCTAACACAAATGTGTTTGAGCTCAAAATATGATTGATGAATGTGAAAAATGCATAGCCGACTGTTTCTGGGTGACTAATACCCATCTAAACGTGAAGCAGTTTGACATCCACACCAGGGATTGAATGGTAGTGGAATCTATGTTTCTTGTAAGACCATTTCTCTTTAGCATGTAATGCCTGGGGTTTCACTTGTCAATAGTTCATCATTTCCTGTCATTGTTTCACTTTGGCTGGCTGTATGATTCAGCACATGCTGCATTTAAATGACATACTTGTCAGTTTCCATGGCAGTCATGCTTTGCTTGCTTGCCTATAGATGATTGGTGTGAAATGTGTATAATGCACATCAAGTTTATATCCTGGAGACAACAACATCTGTTTTAATTAGCAGAACAACATGTGGGACCCAGCCATTGCACAGTTTATTTCCGTCTTATCCATTCTAGGTTGATCTTGAGATATTTTATGTTTTGTTTAAGGTGATCAAGGATCACTATCATTTTTGGTCAGAAGTGGCATATGCATTGATGTGTATATGCTTCAAAATGTTGTCAGTTTCGATGCATGTCTTCATCTGCTGCAACAATTCGTTAATTTCTGCTGTCTGGAGGTATTTGATGGTGACACCAAGCAGGCATTTCAACTAATTGAGAGGCTCATCTTTTGGTACATTGTAATATGTTGGTCCATCAGGGCATTTCTATGCAGGGCTGTCATACATTGCATTTGGTTCTTCAGTATCCCCCTTTTTTGACTTGGGCATCTTGAGAAGGTGACAATGAAAATATACTGACTCAAGCTTAAGTGATGATGATCTGGACCTGACATGTCTTAATATTAGATTCACCTGATAAATTATCTGATTATACTGTGTTGACATTATATATGATTGAATTATCTGATTGGATCATTTTGAACAGACAATGCTTTCTTTGCTACTACATTAATACACATCATGTTTTTGCCTTTCATTCTGATTTTGTCCATATATTTCAGCCCAAGCTAAATGAACACCTCTTGTCAGTGATCCCATTCTACCATGTGTTTTAAGGTGTGGCGAATGATGTCCTTTTTACTTTGCAGGTGCCAGTGGCTGTTTTCCAAGCTCCAAACATGGGGTTTCTTAGTGCCATTATGCCAGGGTATTCTCACATTGTTTGTAATAGCCAACTTCTCATTGGCAACCTTCATGAATCCAGGAATAATCCCAAGAGGTGAGTAGACAAAATTGTTAAGAAGGAATTCCTATGGCTCCATATTTTCCTTGTTTGTGTTCTCATTCACCTTTGTGTTGCTTATTATACTGCTCATAGTCTGACTGATAATGATTTGCAAATGCCAAGTGCTCTCATTTTGTGTTCACTGGGATGTGAGTCGTGTGCGATTACAGTGGTAAGCTATTGGCATGGACGTCTTTTTGTGATTGAAAGTGATATTGAGCCCTGTGCCTTGGTGTCTTATGTGACGCTTAAATTGTCTACAGGCTTGTTTTAGCTTGATCCTTTTCAGCTGGTACACCAATGCTAATGTGATAGAAATGAATTAGTTAAGGTAATAGTCACCTGTTGTTTTACATACTGTTCTGGAGGTCAAGGTGATAATGTGCGCTTGCGATGGCCTGGACCAGTCGCAAGTCATGTATTGGTAACCACTTTATTGTTGTATCGCAGAAGTCGGCTCAGCCGCCGTCCGCCATACAAACCCTGTTCCCGTACGAATGTCGCGTATGGCTTACTGTCGCCGGCCACTGCCTCACTAATGCCGCCGCGGGCCGCGTCCCTGTCTCTCTGTGTCGTGCTGGCGCCGTGCTGTGCCGTGCAGAATAGCCGGCCTTCTGTGCCGTGTCGTGTGCTGGGTCGTGCCGTGCCGTGTGCCTGGTCATGCCGTGTTGTGTGCTGGGTCGTGCCGTGCCGTGCGCTGGGTCGTGCCTATCGTGTATTGGCTCGTGCCATGCCGTGCGCTGGGTCGTGCCGTGCCGTGTGCTGGGTCGTGCTGACACCGCCGCGCGCTGCACCAGCCTCCTCGGACGAGGACCGGGACGATGACTTTCGCCTGCCACTGTACAAGAACGTAGAGATCAGCGGCATCACCGTGCGGATGAAGTGGTGCGCCACCTGCCAGTTCTACCGGCCGCCGCGCTGCTCTCACTGCAGCGTCTGCAACCACTGCATAGAGGTGCGTCCCTCCCGCCGTCGGCCCCCACTGGTGACCGGCTTGGATGTGGGCCCACCGCTACTGGCCCGCTGCTGGCACCAGAGGTGTCCGTTGTCACGGTCTGCTGAGGGAACGACGGCGCTCCGCTAAAATACATATTCGGTGTCACGAAACGCCATCTTGTGCATGGTTATCACACTGAACAATTTACGTAGTACTTGTGACGATGTTGGAAGCTCTGCCTGTTGATGGCCACTTCACTATTGCTCAGTACACCTGCTGCCGTGCCCCCCGCTCGCGACGCGCCCTGTGACCGGCGGCCGGCCGCGTTCGCAGACCTTCGACCACCACTGCCCATGGGTGAACAACTGCATCGGACGGCGCAACTACCGCTTCTTCGTGCTGTTTCTGGTTTCGCTCAGCGTGCACATGGTCGCCATCTTCAGCCAGTGCCTGGTGTTCGTGTTGCACAACTCGGACGACCTCAGCGCCGTCGGCGTCATCGTGACGTATCCTTGACGTGGCTGGTGATTGCGCGGAACCGCCGCGCCCAGCACAGACGTCCCTAGGAGCGGGCGCATATCCAGGAAACGAAATGTCTCACAGTTATGATGGTGAAACGCCGTAGTTTGGTTATGCGTTTTTTGTTTTGTGTGTGATTCTTTGTCGATCGGTTTGATCGCGTGGGCTTTCTCGTAGTTTAGTTATGTTGCCTTGTGCATCGTTCGCATTCTTCAAGTCCGATTCGCGGAATTGTATTCTCGGAGAATTTTGCTCATGGAAAATGATGATGCGCTCAGAAGCAGGACGTACCACGGAGCTCCCGCAGTTCTCTACGTGTAGCTACTGTTGCCATCAAACCCCTTGTCCCGATGTTTTTGGTCGATAATCTTCGGAGTTTTGGCTCACTTGAATTGATTCTAAAGTGTCAATCGCGGCTGAGCAATCCAGATTGTCGAAACATGTTGGTGAAGTCAGACAACTGGCAAAGATGTACTGCATTGTTCGTAAAGAACCATCTCATCTTTTTTGGATGGAGGCTAGGATGATGGTTGGTCTGCCGTCCCAACAGACAGCTTGCCATTGGATGCATGACCACAGGGCGAGCTGACTGATCCAGATAAAGACCATGCTTTTACAGTGGGCGAGGCTTTGGTCCGACTCACCACCCACCGGTAACCTCTATTCGTTTCATTTCAGACAAGATATTACGGTAAATGGAAAACGTTGTTGCATTGGGCTGTACCTAAGACCATACTTTCACGAGCGGGCTAGGTTCTGGTCAGACTCACCACCCACCGGTAGCCTCTATCCGTTTCATGTCAGATAGGATGTTACGGTAAATGTAAAGCGTTGTTACATTGCGCTGTACAAAAAATATTGCAGGCTGTTCTGGTTCGTTGTTCAAGTTCGACGCTGGGAGGCAAAACATTTAACGATCATCCTGCAAAAGCGTAGCTTGTAAGTGATGACATTGGACACCCGTCTGGCGCATTCGGCGTCGCATTCGCGTCCATTGACCCGGCCCGGCGCGGCCACGTGTTGTGCCGCGCCCGGTAGTGCGTACTGCTGTGCGTACGTGTCCGGTCACTTCCTTGACCAGCGGGTGCAGTCTGGTGATCATGTGCATCACGGGCGTGCTGTTCGTGCCCGTGCTGGGCCTGGCCGGCTTCCACAGTATCCTGGTGTCGCGCGGGCGCACCACGAACGAGCAGGTGACGGGCAAGTTCCGCAGCGGCTTCAATCCGTTCTCGCGTGGCTGCTGCTGGAACTGCTGCCGTACGCTCTGGTCGCCGCTGTACCCCAAGTAAGGCTGCCGGCCCGCGGGTTCCGCTTGGCCGGCCGCCAGCGAGGCTGTGACGGCTCCGTTTGCATGAGCTGGCGTATGTGGGTGTGGGTGTGAGTGTTCTGTGTTATATCTAATCTTGCCGAATGTGTGGCCTGTCCAGATTGGCGGCCGGCGCGTGGTGTTTTTGCCTCCCTTCACATGTCCCTACAGCCCAGTTGGATAAGCGTCAGGCGCACCAACCAAAGTGCGGCAGGCGTGTGGGATCGCGAACAACGGAGGCGTGCATGCCGCTCGTTTTTGGCGGCCCGTTGGCGGTGAGAGCTTGCCCGGTTAAGGCAGCCAGGCCGAAAGAGGGGCGTTGGAGCCCTGACAAGGCTGCACGAGTGTTAGGTGGGAGGGCAAAAGTTCCGCAAACTCAAGATGCGTGCGGGCCGCGTTAGCGTGGCTTGAATGGGGTGGTGTGCTCATCGAGCATCTCGTTTGGACTGGCCATGTGGAGCGAGTGCCGAAACGAGTGGGAAAGATGGATAAAGTGCATGTTCAGACGGTGTGGGTATGTGATTTTCCAGCCACTAACAACTGAGACCGAAGCTTATAATAAGGTAGAGCTCGATCACACGGCCACACAACAAAACAGCAGCCAAATTCTACAACCAGTTACCATTGCACCGCTGCTCCCAGGCCATCCCCGGAGCGTGTTTGACCGCGGCGTGTAGTGCATGCGGCACGACATCGCTTATATAACGAGACACACACGATCCTGCCCACCATGAAAACAAATCCGTCATGTAACAAGAGCTCTTAACATTTATGCTGTCTAACGATACGGGCCTCCGGATCAGCCTCACTGGCCGAATGGGGGAGCGTTATCAGCGGCGGGTGAATCACAGAGATACGCTCTCTGACGCACGGTGATATGTGTCCTAACGGGCACTGGCCGCTTATCAGCTGTACCAAAGACATGCTTGCATGTGCGCAACGTAAATCAGGCCATTCTAGTAACAATAATATTGTTAGTATCACGGCTGCACCTGTGCCCACGGATGCGTTGTGGTTGGTGATGTTGGATGTATATATATATATATATATATATATATATATATATATATATATATATATATATATATATGTATGTATAGCGGTGTGCGTGTGTGTGCGTGCGTGCGTGCGTGCGTGCGTGCGTGCGTGCGTGCGTGCGTGCGTGCGTGCGTGCGTGTGCGTGCGCGCGTGCGTGCGTGCGTGTGTGTCAACCACGTTGGCTATTTAGGCCTGTTGGTAATGTTTGTGTCAAATCGAGTCCAGACTGTTTTGTTACAGTTGCGCCATTTTGGCACACCCTGAGTGTATATCATAGAAGTGGCCAGGTCTGAGAAGGGGAGACTAACATTACCTGGGCGTGGTCGAATTCTGGTGAAATGCCGCAAAGTACAGCTGTGTCGGCTGCTTCCTTGTACGCTGATCTGTGACCTACTCAGCGGCGCACCTGGGTCGGCTGTGCTGCCCCCACCGCGCTTGCGTGGCGTGTGACCGTGTGCTGCGGTCGGCAGCGTGGACGCCCTGTCGCGGGAGGCGTGCCGTAAGCGGCACCCGTACAGTCTGCCGACGTCGCCGCGCGCCGTGCCGGCAATCGCCAGCGAGCACCAGGTCAAGCTGTACATCGACAACGGCAACGGTGTGCGGAGCAAGGGCGGCGCCGCCCTCTACACTCAGGTACGCCAGGGCCGGGCGCCGCGCGCCGCTTGGGTGCGGTGGTACGCAGGCAGCGGGTGTGGGAGAATGGTGGACTCGGTGGTTGGCGGATGCTCGCGTCTAAGGAACTGGTCATCGCCGTTTTAACTCTAACCGCCGATGTCCTGGTCGCCCTCAGCGGACATCGACGTGTAATGCTGTCTAACTGGATGTGTTGGTCTGTAACAGGAGACCCCAGAGAAGGCTCCCTGGATTCTCGCATTGTCGCATGCTGCTCTAGGGCATGATAAACCGTGTATAGTGCACGTCTTAAGGTGCTATCATAATCGCTACCAAGTTGATTTCAGCTCTCTTGACATGGTGTGCTGGATGTTGCATGCTGGCTGCAGCATATGTAAGGTATGGGCGTTATTGAACGCACTGTCGTGGGTCGGCCTTTTGTTATTGCGTTGACATGCAGGATCAAACTTGCTGCATGCATCTGTTCTGTTATCGTTTAACGGATGTAATGCTCCCGTTAAAAGGATGCGATTAACGAATCCCTTGGTGATGTTAGGACAGCAAGGGCGAAATATGTTTTAAGCTTGCTTAATGAGCTGCAATTCCTTTGTCAACTAAGGGCGACGTCTCGTGTGCACCCAGTGCCTTGGATGACGTTTGATCCATCATTCTAGTCACTGAGTGTCCCCTGTCCTGCCTGGGGTACCCTAGCTGTGAGAGGGCGCGGCGATAGAAAGCCCGCGACGTCACCGATTGAACAGTATATACCTTCAAGGGCACGATACGCGCTGTTCGTGAAGTCAAAGGCTGTATTACTTTTTCTGTGCCATGACTCCTTACCTGGTCAGCTTAAGAGTAGCTGCTGTCGGCCGGAGGGGCCTGGTAGGCTCTCATTGGGCGCAGATTGACCTCAGAAGTTGATGCGCCCTGAAACCCCAATCATCATCATCATGGTAGGCTCCCATGAGACTTTTCTGAGACCACTTTTGAACCATAAAACGCATTGTGTTGATACTTAAGTGCCTACTTTTCAACATTTCTTTTCACTCCTGCGAGAATTTGAACCCTTTTATGTGTTTGGCCGAGTAATAAATCCCTCATTCATCTCGGTCATATCGGCCTTGCGTCGCGGTCAGGCGCGGAACAACATACGTTTGTCGTATAATATGCCTTCTAAATGGCTCCCTGTTTTGAACTGCTTTTTATTGTAAGTGTTGATTGATGTTGATTTCGTGCATTTAATGATGATGGGGTCAGGAGGCCGAGCGGGTCAGTCTGGGCCGTGCCAACAGCGCGCTGCTGAGCGTCCCGGCCCGCCCTGTCCCGGCCTGACAATGTCTAGTCGCTGCGGATCGTTCCGTACCGGCGGATCATGCTCGGTCGGTCACCAAGGGTATCGTAAAGCCCACGATGCCAGTGGACAAAGCCGTTAAGACCAGATGCGACAACGATTAAAACGCATCGCGAGCAAGGTCACTCGTTTCGTCACATCGGGTGTCCGGATCTTCGAGCACCATCCTGCATCAGACCGGTGCTCGGGCGATGCACAGCTCATGTTTGGTTCGAGATGCGGCGATAGCCTTGACCGGGACGAGGCTGCGCGGTGCGCAGGTAGCCGACGCGACGGTGACAGACGGGGGGACGGGAGTGCCACCGCGCCCGCCACGCCACCCGGGTGGTAGTGGGCTGCTGTGACGCAAAGACATGCGTTGGGAATATCGCGTGGGTGTGGCCGTGGTAGATTTAGGAGGCCTCGCGCTCCGGGGACGGCGAGTGCTGCCACTGTCGGTGCCGGGTCAGACGCGCCGCGCCAGCCCAGCGCCGCCACGGGCGGCGGCGGACGCCGCTCACCACTGCACTCTGATGCAGGCTTGGTGATAGGACCTCGCTCGGTCCACGCGGTCCGAGGCAGAGCATGGGTAGTGCGTGGTGGTGTGGTGCACTGAAATTGAAAGTGACTTACGTCATCCAAGGTCAAGATTAGTAAAATTCACATAATGAAAAGCATATTTGCGCGAATGACTTCCTGTTTTTCATTCCCTGCTCAGCCTATGTCAGGTCTCGTTATGCGGTGTTCGATATCGCTCCATCAGCGTAGCGCAGCGTGGGTCATTCCGTTGTCGTGCCTTGTTTAGTTGTTGTGTTATGTGGGTGACACGAGGCCGGACGTGTGCGACCCAATTAAATGTCACAGGCCACGACTTTTGATGGTTGCGGTTAGTGAATGGTTCATTGCAACGACGGCCACTAAGCACCTTTCTCTTTAGTAGTAGGCACCGCGGTTCTGGGGGTGGAAAGTATGCATAAATTAGCAAGTTTTCTCGCGCTTGCCAAAATAATTCAAAGGATCACTTATATTGATGCTTAATGACACAGTCAGATGCGTTTTTACACGAGCCATCAGAGGCTGTTTTCCACCTGGCTCTAGCATGGTTAGCTTTGGGGTGGTGCGAATGGCGTTAACTCCGCCCCAACCGTCCGACGAGCTGGGGAAAACGTCTGCCCGCTAAGGGTTAAGCGGGTTGAACAGCTGACACTAAATGATTGATGTAAGGCTGCCTTGATAAGACGAACTCAGGGTGTGGGTTATTCATGTTGCGGAGAATGCCTCTGTTTTCACTTTCGCCGCGGGCCTGTATCCCCTGCCGGTCATATGCCTAGTTCCGCATCTGACATCAGCCCCGTTAGGTTGTTGTGTTAACACCATAAAACGAACAACGTAGCCTGAACTGTGGGGGCATGGTAAGTTTTTTCGGTTCCGTCGAATTCGGTGTTGTGTTTGTTTTTTTTTCGAGCTTCTTTTGAGTTTTCCCCCCTGCCTCCTTGCAGATGACCCCTGTTTCGTGTGTGCCTGAAGTAGAAAGCTCACCAATTTGGCGCCAAACGACCGTTTAATGAACTACGCTTCTTTTCCTTGTTATCTTTTCTTTGCTGTAGGTAAGTTTTCGACGGCCTTTCTAGACCCTACTCTCCTTTCGCCAGGTGTACGCATTAACTTCTACTGGCTTTTCTTCCCCTGCTCGCAATGCGGCTATGTTAATTACGACAAGGACCTTTTTGATGGAGCATGACATTAACATATTAACCTTCGAGTTTTCTTGTCATGCCGTTACCTAGAGTGTGTGCACCGAAATAACACCGCCTTTGCAGAAACTCGTCGTTTTCCGCTTACGGTGACATGACTTTGTTTTCATGAACTGGGTCGTTGCACCCTGGTTTGCCAGTCGTTCAGTGCGCTCCCGTTGGTGGCACCCCCCGCGTTTGCCCTTCTGCTGTCGGCACGTCGTGTTTTCGCTGCGCGCTGACGGCCGGCGGCGGCGCGCGCTCACGTCCGGCGCCGAGAGCGCGGCGCGCTGACGGGCGGTGGCGTCGCGCAGGTGACCAGCTGCGGCGAGGGCTCGGACGGCGAGATGGACCCATCCATGTCGCAGTCGCGCGACTGCGAGGCCTCGCCGCCCGTGCCTCGCAGCGGCTCCAAGACCAACTTCTTCCCGCAGCGGGCGGCGGCCGGCGGCGCGCCGGGCCCGGCCGGCGCCGACGGCTCGCCCTACAAACAGTACTCGGGCCGCACCACGCCACAGAGCCGGCCCGCCAGGTGAGGCCGGCGGCCGCACAGCCGGCGCTCGGCGGCTGTCGGCGTCAGTGCGCGCGTTGCGTAGAGTACCGGTAGAGTAATGGGCCAGTGGGTATTCCGAACAGTCCCCCCAGGTCGCGTGTTGAAAGACAAATAGATTTTAGGGACGGGAACACTGGGGCTTGTGTAATCCTTTTATGACGGCAAATTAATACGCTTGATATACGTCAGAGTAATGTGCTTGCCTGATGGCCGGCCTGCCTTCATCGGTGCTTCCCGCTTCCAGAGAGGGCCGGAAGTCTCGCAGCCAGACGCCCGAGTCAGTATACTCGCCGGAGACCCCGAGCTCGCCGCCGCGTCGCCCGCCGGCCGCCAGCCCGCCGCTCAGCCCCACACAGCGTGGCCGTCAGGCGGCGCTGTACGTCAGCCCGGCGCGCCGCTCTCAGCCCAGCACGCCGACGGCGCCGCGCCGGCCCGGCTACATCCACGTGTGCTCGCACGCGCGCTACCCGCCGGCGGCGGCGCCAGCCGCGCCGCGCTACCCGCAGTCGTTCAGCTACGGCGGCGAGGCGGGCCAGTACGGGCCGGCGCCGCCGCCGCCGTCGGTGTACAGCGGCGCGCGGCGCACCACCGCCAGCGGCCTGCCCGAACAGAGCGACCGCGCCGAGCCGCAGTCGCCGTACGGACTCTGGCCGACGTACAGCCAGTCGCAGCCGGCCGGGTTCGGACCGCAGTCGCCGCCGCACGCGCGCCGCAATGCGGCCGCCCACCACGCCGAGTACCCGCCGGTGCACCGGGCGCCGCCCGAGCCCGCACACTACACCTACCGGTCACCCCCGGCTGTCGAGGTGGGCCGCTCTGGCGGCTACCGGCCGCCCCCGGCGGGCGAGATGGACCGTGCCGCGGGCTATCGGCCTCCCGTTGCCGGCGAGGTGGGCCGCGCCGCCGTCTACCGACCTCCCCCGGGTGGCGAGATGGACCGGTCGGGTGCATACGGCGGCGGCGTGCTGCGATCCCGTGGACCGCCGGCGCCGCACCCGGCCGACGGCCAGGACCGGTACGACTCAAACTACGAGATATCAGTGTAGCACGCGCCGTCGGGCGATGGTTCCGCGCGAGCCCGCCGGCCGCCGCCAGAGTCCAGGGCTGAAGCCCGCTGTGTCATGTTTGTGTGATGGCGCGCGCGGACGTGGGTAGCGGGTCCGGCCGCCCGCCTGTCCTCCACGGCCGCAGCGCTGGCCCGCCGCTGCGGCCGCCAGTACAAACGTGCCGCCGCCAAACTAACGGGCGCCGGCGCCTTCCCTTCCCCTCCGCCGTCCCGCCTCATGATTCGTCTAGTCGGCTCAGTGATAGCGTCTGTGTTCGGCGCGGCACCGGCAAGGCCACGCAGCTGGGGTCTCGCCATGCCCCGCCCCTGTGCGCGCGTCGCCCCGCGGGTTCGTGTGCCTCTGACGGTGACGTGTGTGTGTGTGTGCGTGTGTGCTTGCCTGTACGTGTGACTGCCTGCACATAGTCGTGGCTGGACGCGGCCGAGCCGGGGCGGCTCGCCGGGCTGGCGCTGAGCGGACGGCCGCAGTCGCCGCTCGGAAGCGAGGCGTCAGACGCCTGGTGCAGTCGGGCTTGACGTTGCCGCAGCGTGTTGTTGGTCGATTTAATTATTTACTCGTCCGATTGAGTGTTAGCTAACGCATGTGCCGTTCCTGTGGGGGTAGGTTCTGTTTGTTGGCCTCGAACGGGACTCGTGTGTTTCTGGAGGCCCTGCCGGGGACGCCGTATTTTAAAAAATCTGACGCGACTGAAACGTTGTTCACTACCCGTGTGTTACTTTGACCTGCCGGCGCGTGGCTGGAGTGGCCATGTCTCGTGCTCGGTGGACGGGTCCTTTGTACCGCGTGGGCCGCCGCGCACTATTGACGGCAGTGCGTGCTTGGCCGTGCCGTGTTTGTGCCGTGCGCAGGGCTGTTGTGGTTGTCTCGACCCCACAGGTCGACGCCATGCGCCTTCGGCTGGGATGGGCGTGGCTGTTTTGTACTGAACCATAGTAGGTGCTGAAGATTATTTCCAGTGACTTGCATATTTGCCCCGAGATAAAATAAATCACCTGTTGAGCACGTTATTTGGAAAACAGCAAGCATGGTGATAGCTGCTTGTCTCCAGTCATGTTACTGCACCACATGAGACTTGGCGAATATGGGTGACGGATGGGGAGGAAAGCAGCTCATCTCAGCGGGCTGGGAGAGAAGGAGCTCCTTTCAGAGACCGCTGTCGCATGACTTCAGGAAATGCATTGCATTTTACAACATGCGCAGTACTATACCAGGCTTCCGGTCCCGACCTGCAGACCGAGGCACGAGCTCTGGTAGCTCGAACGGCCCTGGAAGTGTGTGGCAATAAAAAAATAGCGCAAAGACACGCTGCAGACCATCACAGCCGCCGCCGGTGAATTACAAAACGGAGTCAATTCCACGAGTTGGATGCTCTAATTTGTCAGTTTAAGCTTAACACATTTCTGTTATGCCTTGTTTGTATCCCAAGTCACGTTTTGTTATGTCTCCGTGTCGAACGGAGTCCGCGGTGTTGCGGCCATCAATAATAAAATCTGCAAATGGACTCAACGACGTCATTTCTCAGAATACACACCGACTTCCGTTTAAGGCCAGGATGTGAACATCTCCGGGTCGCGATCCATCTCGTCTAGTCAAATCACTCTGGCCATCCAAAGGACCGAGAATATTCAAAAGACACAGGACCTCCCAAAGACGCGTCGAAAATATACCTCACAGTTGCAACTTGTTACTCGTGTGGGCATAAAATGAGTACTATACAGCACACTCCTGACTGGTGTGAAAATCGAATGAAATTCAATTCATTGGCCGCAAACTTCCCTACACTTTGGCAGAGATACTCTCTTCAGTTGAGTTTCCATACCCATGTTGTTATATGCGGTTGTGTTATGTCATTCGGAGCTTTACGACGCACTCAGCCGCGGAGGCTATATGGCGTCACCTGCCTCTCATCCCGACAGGAAGGGCGGGCGCCGCGGGGAATCGAACCCTGTACCTCTGGTTTCCCAGACGCGCAGTGGTTGCTATATGCGGTGCGATGTCCACGTGCGCCATTATCGGCAACGTGCCCGCGCCATACGCCGCACACCGCGCCACTCGTCACGGCCGCAGCGCCGGCCGGCCGCCACCCGCAGCGCTCCCCGCCGTGGGCGACGTTGCAGCGAAGTACGGTGCCGCCCAGGCAGCGGGCCGGCCGCCACTGGCAGCGCTCCCCGCCGTGGGCGACGTTGCAGCGAAGTACGGTGCCGCCCAGGCAGCGGGCCGGCCGCCACTCGCAGCGCTCCCCGCCGTGGGCGACGTTGCAGCGAAGCACGGTGCCGCCCCGGCAGCGGGCCGGTCCTCCGCAGCGCCACCACGGCCGGTATCGAGTCCGTGATAGTGAAGGGCCATGTGTCCTCGGTCTCTGGCCAATCAGCGGCGGCCTTTGGTAGGGCCGAACCGAGGTGAGGCTCGGGGCGTGAACGAGGGGTCAGTCGGGTCCTAGTCCCCGGTTGATAAGTTACGCATGCTGTCCTGTCCTCCGTCCTCCCTTTGATCCGCTTGAAACGGCTGAAGAGGTTTTGCTCTACCGTACCTACGGCCAACGGCTCGGGGCACTCCCCGAGGGCCGCTATCCTTTTCTCTCACCAAGCCGCACTGGAGGCTCAATGACACTGAGCTCCGTTGCTGCCCTGGTAGATGTTGTGTTCATAAAAAGGATTTTGTGTATGCAATTAAGTAGTGTGATTGGAGCGAGTGAGTTGGGGTGGTACTCATGAGTGAGTTGAAGCGGTGCCCAGTATAACCATATTTTATGGTGAACCATAAAATGTATCTCAAAGGCTAACGAGAATCCGGAAAGTGGTTCGTTTATGGCTTGCTTAATGTTTAATTGTATTATATACCGTGTCATCCTAACCGGTCGGTCCACCTTATTCTTACAAGCATCTCGTACATTATGGAAAACAGGGTATTCGATGACAGTAAAACAGCGAGCAGATGGTCATACACAAGGACGTCGTTTATCACGCCAAACTGTCCATATAACGAGCAATCAAGGGTATACAGAAGTCATGTACTGGGGTCCATATCGAGCAAGGATGTTTTGCTATCCTGATGAGGGCAAGCTTCTTGCAAAGCCAGAGAAGTTTTTGTCTACATGCGGCATGTGACTGACTAGCGGCGGGCGCCAACAGCTTTAGTTCCACCGCCTTCCGCCAGGTGTCGGGGCTGCGCCAACTGGCTGAGGCCGGTGGGCCGATCGGCTGTGCGCGTGCCCATTCGCTGATGTAATCCGCAGTGGAAGGTAGCCGAACCGAGGTGATAGCAAAATGCTAGGTCACGTGCACGTGAGCCCGTGCACTCGCATACACCAACAACCAGCTGGCGTAAACCAGGCTCTCCACAAATGAAATGCCTCAAATTCGCACTGCCGACCAGCCGGCCCCCTTTCACACACCCTCCAAACGCCAATTTCAGGTGGCAGCCGACAATGTAGCCTGATACGTTTCCTCTCATTGTCTGACATCCTCGACGACGCAGCACGTGAGTTGCGTGGCTCAGTGCGGTGATGCTGGTGCCGTGATACGGTTGTTAAGGATGCAAACCAGGGCTGTCTGGGACTTTCTGGAATGTTTTTTTTTTTTGCTTTTTGGCTATAGCAGGTAAGTTATCGTCTTATTTTGCACAGTGTATATGTTAATCGTGAATTATACCCATTGTAAAGGAGTTGAATAGGCAGCTGTTTTTATGCAAGTGCTTACCAACTGAAAAACTAGTCAAACATATTTAAACCTTCAACCGTTTTTACTATCATCCGTGTCTTGCCCGTTGTCCTAGTAGCCTGGCTGACGCAGTGGCCCTCCATTGTTTTC